GCACCCACATTGCGATGGCCAGGACGCGCCCCTCGCACCCACATGCTCACTGCCCCGGCGCCCACGCTCGATCTTCTTGGGCAGCAGCCGGCCCGCGCTCGCCTTTGCCCCAGGTAAAGACGGCACCGGCGGTGAGGGTGAGGTTGTGGTCTTCTCCCGCCAGCACAGCGATTACGCGCTGCCGGGCCAAGGCCTCGACCTGCTTGGGCAGCAGCTGGTCCTCCTCGTCGCCGTGGCCCAACATGCCGTGCCCTCCATCGCCCCAGCTCCAGACAGCGCCGTCGGCGGTGAGGGCGAGGCTGTGGTAGCCTCCAGCCGACACAGCAACGACGCGCCGCCCAGCCAAGGCCTCGACCTTCTTGGGCAGCAGCTGGCCTTCCTCGTCGCCGTGGCCCAGCTGGCCTTCCTCTCCATTGCCCCAACTCCAGACGGCACCGTCGGCGGTGAGGGCGAGACTGTGGACGTTCCCCGCCGAGACAGCGATGACGCGCTGCCCAGCCAAGGCCTCGACCTGCTTGGGCAGCAGCTGGGGTAACCGTCGGTGGTGCGGCGCGAGCGGCGCGAGCGGCGCCGGCGGGGTGGACATCGCGAGAAAAAGACCGACAAAGCTCCGTGCGGCTGTCTGAGTTGGGGATGTACGTCGTGTGCGTGTCTGGTGTTTATTAGCTCCGAGTAGAGGGGGCGCTCCGCTGCTAGGGGAAACCTGGAGCGCGGACTAACCCTCGGAGACCCGTGTTTACTTTAAGGCCCTTTCCCTGCGAACGCGCACCCCCGGGGCTAGGGCTCTCTAGCCCGTAACCCGATACCGATCATCCGGCTCGCTGGGTGCGCTTCTTAGCTCCCCGGCCCTGGATGTGAGTGAGGTTAATAACTGCACTCCAAGTGCTCTGTCGCAGGAGGTGGTGGAGAATGACCTCCAGACTGACCCGGAGAATCACCTCCACCAGCCCCACCTCAACACCCCTATTATCACTCTCTCTCCCCCCCACAGTGATGAATAGTCTACCTATATCCCTATATTCCCACACCCTGTGCAGTGGCACGTCTCGCCACCTAGATCCCTAATATTGGCACCTCCGTCGGGCGCCGAATAGGCGCCCAAATATTGGCACGTAATAGTCTCCCGACTGCTTTCGTGGGGCCGCCGCGCCGCGAGACAGTCGACCTCTCTACTGTTGTGACACCACAACTCGGTGCAACTGGGGCCATTCTTCCACCGGTGTGACACCACACCTTCGTACTCTGAATACCTTCTACATATATGTCAGCCTCGGACTGAGGATGGCTTTACAGCCTCACCTGCGGTCAGCAATACCGCAGAGCCGTGCACGCGGCTCACCACTCACACTTGCTGGGCACCGATCTTCGGGTTCAGATGACCATCCCTCTGCAGAAGAGGGAAGAGGGACGCCTCACGAGACTACAGAGGGCCGAGACCAGGACCATTCCACACGGTCAGACCACTCTGATCACCACCACATGCTCCAAATAAAATCCCCGGGTGGTGGCGGCGTGCCGTCCTCCCATCCCTCCTTAAAATCCCTGTGTGGTGGCGGCGTGCCGTCCTCCCATCCCTCCCTTGGGTTTCCCGTTTTCTTTCTTTCTTTCTTTCCCATCCCTCCCTTGGGTTGTCTGTTTTTCTTTCTTTCTTTGAGTTGGGGATCGGGTCGGGCGCGCGGCTCAATCAAGTTGCGGTCACAAGAGCGAAAAAATAATTTCAAGAAAAAGAAACGCGCGACGCGCTCCGCAGGCCGTGGGGGTGGGCGGGGGGTGACTCCGGGATGACCCAGCGGAAGATGCAGTAGCACTGCCGCAGAGCACGCGCGGAGCGCGCCGCTGGGTAGGTGCGGAGCGGCGCCGCCACTTGAAATTGGGCCTGTGGGTGGGCCGAGAGTCAAACTCTTGAGCACTTGAGCACTGGATAGGGTCGATTCCGCATGGTACGGGACCCCTCGATCGTCTCGCCCTCCCTCACTGGTGTGTTAAACATAGAAATCGAATCTAGCCCTCCACAACCCTCAAAATTTTCTTGGGGGCGCGCTCCGCGCGCGGCGCTCCGCGCCTCACTCCTTGAGCGTCATAGGCGCTGGCATGCACATGTTCTGCAGCTTGACGACCGCACGATCTTTTCAGGGCATCACCGTGGCGAGGTGAGGCCGTAGGGTTCTCTGGAGGGTGGAGGGCGGAGAGGAAAGCAAGGACTCAATCGACCCCGCATGTGGCATGACCACTCCAAATTCATTACCACTAACCGCTTACCTAAAAAGAAGAAAATCTGCATAGAAAAGAACGTGCGAGGGCTGACGCGCTCTCTGACGCGCCCTCTGAACAGGTCCCCTTCCCTCTCTCGGCTGGACCATGTTGTCCCTCCGCAAGCTCCTCTTAATAGCTCTGCTGGCGGCCCTCGCGTCGCCGATAGCGTGCGCGCCCACCGTCGACGAGGAGGAGGATCCCGACGACGTGCCGCCGCACAGCGAGGAGGAGATTGAGGATGCGCGGGAGGAGTTTGCCGCGATCGACGTCAACCCGGCCGACGGCTTCATCACGCGCGAGGAGGTGCAGCAAATGGCGGACGCGCCCGAGGAGGAGGAGATTGAGGAGTTTTTCGAGACGTACGACCTCGACCAGGACGGCCAGGTCTCGTTTGAAGAAATCATGACCGCGGACGAGTCGCTCCGACAAGCGGGCGAGGAGGAGGCGGAGCACCAAATGGACGAGGAGGCGATGGGGGATGGGTCCGAGGGGGCGGAGGCGGCGTAGGGCGGCGGCGGCGAGCGGGCTCAGTGGCAAGGAGAGGCGCGCGAGTGCGTCGCGGGTCACGGCGTGAGGCCTCGGCGTGCGATATCGGGCTGCTGCGCGGCATTTTGTCGAGCGAGCATATCAGCCCATGCGAATTCCCCCACCGTCCGACCGCGACGAGGGTCGCTTCGGATGGGGTTGCCGCCCCGTGTCTGCTAGGAGGGTGTCCGGTGTGCGTGATCTCTGTGATCTGGGAGGGTCCGACCCCGCGCCCGCAGGCGCATTTTGCACGGGCGGTGCCGACGTCGAGCTTGATATTTAGCGTCGGGCCTCGAGACCTGCACCTGGTTTGTTATTTCTGGGCACACTTGACAAAAAGAAAACAAAATCGGGGTACCCACGTGCACACATTTTAACAAACAACAACATTTTCGATTTTGGAATTTTTGAGATTCGCCTCGCAGATTACCCGGCCAACGATATTTTCCTGCTTAGCGCGATTTCCGATTCCGTGAAACCAGTTTACCCAGTCTCCCACGTTTCATGTTTCAGCTTACCCGGTCGCTAAAATGTCCCACTCCACGCGCGGCACGACGCACCCGGCGCGCCGCGCGCCATTCATCGCCGCAGAAGTATTGCGACATGTTGCACGACGCCGAGGACAGCGTTGAGAAGCTGGCGCCATTCGCCAACCCGCATGCCTCGGCACCGGACCGGAGAGCAGTCTACTGCGCATGTCGATGCAGCAGGAGGTTGCCACCCATCAGGCTCTCACACCACAGCACAGGCGCCGTCGAGCTCTCGCAGCCGCGCTGCACAATGCTCCAGCTCAGGAGGGCCCCCTGCTTCTCGCAGCTTTGTGCAGCGCAACGAGCGGGCAGCGCTGCACCAGGCAGGCGGACCCACGGCGTGCTCAGCGAGCCGCGAGGCGGAGGCAGGCCGAGAGAGCGCGAGCCGCATCGGCGCCCATGTCCCGCGCAGCGGCGAGCGAGCGGCACGGAGCAGTGCATTCTGTAATTTTGCCGCGCCGATGCGGCGCGCTGGCCTCGGCAGCTCGTCGCGCGCCGGCCTCGGCTCCGGTTTCGGTGGCAGCAGCTTTGTGCGCGGCGAGTCCACTGACACCGCCTCCAAAGGTGAAGCTTACACCTGGCATCCACCAGCCGCGCGCGGTAGTCGCAAGCGCTCGGGCAGAGGAGGAGACAATTCGGATGAGGATGACGAGAAGTACTTCGACGAGGAGGACGAGCCACCCGCCAAGGCGGCCCGTGCAGGCGCAGTGGACGACGACGACCCGCTCGACGCGTACATGCGTCAGCTCGGCGGCGGTGCTGGCTCGGCACCGGCCGCCGCGCAGCGGCAGCAGCAGCCGCCGCCGCCGCCGCAGCAGCAGCAGCAGGAGGAGGAGGAGGAGGAGGAGGATCCTCTGGACGCCTTCATGGCGGGAAACGCCCGTCGGCTCGCCGCGGCGCCCGCCGCAGCGCCTCGCGCCTCGGTGCCAAAGCAGTGTGACGAGGCGGAGGAGCCTGTGGCGTCCTTCATGGAGGCCTTCGGGGAGGGAGGGTCGGAGGAGGAGGGGGAGGGGGCGGAGGGCGGCGGGGCAGGCGCCGGGCCGCGCAGGCAGCTCAAGGACCAGAGGGGGAAGCAGCTCGAGCTTCTCCCTCCTGTCGACCACTCCGCCGTCGACTACCCGCCCTTCGAAAAGTGCGCAGCCCGCACCACCGCAGCCCGGACCCGCCTCCCCCTCCCCTCCCCTCCCACTCCCACTCCCCTCCCCTCCCCTCCCCCTCCCACTCCCACTCCCCTCCCCTCCCCTCCCCTCCCCTGCCCAGGTGCTTCTACTCCGAGGCGCGAGCCGTCACGGCGATGAGCGACGCGCAGCTCGGCGACGTCCGCCGCCGGCTCGGCGTCACATGCCGTGGTTTCGAGGCGCGCGCGATTACTTGTATCCAACACCCATCGCCACAACGTCCGCCGCACGCAATGCCGCACTTGCCCTCTCTCACCGCCGCTGCCGCCTCTCACCGCCGCTGCCGCCTCACCGCCGCTGCCGCCTCACCGCCGCTGCCGCCTCACCGCCGCTGCCGCCTCACACCGCCGCGCGGCCGCTCTCTCCTGCCAGGTGCCGCGCCCGCTCCGCCGCTTCGACGAGGCAGGCTTGCTGCCCGAGCTGGCGAGCGCCGTCCGCAAGGCTGGCTTACGAGGGCGCCGACCCCGTAGGCTTGGGAACCTTCTCGGAACCTTCTCGGAACCTTCCCTAGGCCGGCTACGAGGCGCCGACCCCGATCCAGTGCGTCGCCCTGCCGGTCGCCCTCTCCGGCCGCGACATGATCGGTCGAGACTTGCCGAGACTCGCCGAGATCTCCCGAGATCCGCTGAGATTTGCGCTCCCCGGCCGCGACACGATCGGTATCGCCGCGACGTGCGGCGGCGAGACGGCGGCGAGACGGCGGCGCGATCCCCGAGTCTACCCGAGATGAGCCGCGAGTCGGGATGGCCGCTATCAAGTAAGTAGTCACTTATGACTGATCAAGAGGAGCCGAGAGCAGGCATCGCCGCGACGGGCTCCGGCAAGACGGCGGCGTACGCCCTCCCCCTCCTGACGCACGTGGCGCACCAGCCGCACCTTGCCAAGGGGGAGGGGCCGATCGTCCTCGTCGTCGCGCCGACGCACGAGCTGGCCGAGCAGATCGTGCGGCAGGTGCGCAAGCTGGGCAAGGGGGTCGGCGTGCGGTGCGCGGGTCTCTTCGGCGGCGTCTCCAAGTGCGAGCAGTTCAAGGAGCTGAAGGCTTAGGAACCTTCTCGGAACTGTCTCGGACCCTTCCCTAGGTTCGAGCAGTTCAAGGAACTGAAGGGTTAGGAACCTTCTCGGAACTGTCTCGGACCCTTCCCTAGGTTCGAGCAGTTCAAGGAACTGAAGGGTTAGGAACCTTCTCGGAACTGTCTCGGACCCTTCCCTAGGTTCGAGCAGTTCAAGGAACTGAAGGGTTAGGAACCTTCTCGGAACTGTCTCGGACCCTTCCCTAGGTTCGAGCAGTTCAAGGAACTGAAGGGTTAGGAACCTTCTCGGAACTGTCTCGGACCCTTCCCTAGGTTCGAGCAGTTCAAGGAACTGAAGGGTTAGGAACCTTCTCGGAACTGTCTCGGACCCTTCCCTAGGTTCGAGCAGTTCAAGGAGCTGAAGGGTGGTGCCGAGGTTGTGGTTGGGACGCCGGGCCGGCTGCTCGAGATGTGCAAGGCCAAGGGCGGGCTCACGCTCGGGTGAGAGAGAGAGAGAGAGAGCGGGAGAGAGAGAGGGAGGGAGAGAGGGAGGGGGAGGGAGCGAGAGAGGGAGCGAGAGAATGAGGGAGGGAGGGGGAGGGCGCGTGTTGTGACGCGGCGGCCGGTCTGCTGCAGGCGGGCGACCTTTGTGGTGGTGGACGAGGCACAGCCCGCACCTCTCCTCGACGGGTCTGAGTGGGGCTACGAGTCCACACTACGAGTCCACACTAGTTGGTACGAGTCCAGGCGGACCGTCTCTTCTCGATGGGGTTCGAGCCGCAGCTGCGCAGCCTGCTCGGGCAGGTGCGTCACCATTCATGAGCTGTTCTATTATAACTACATGATCCATTCTAACCAGCCTGCTCGGCCAGGTGCGGCCCGACCGGCAGACGCTGCTCTTCTCCGCAACCTTCCGCCCCGCCCTCGAGGTATCTTAATTAGTAATAATTACACGAATGAGTACTCATTAACATACTAGTCAACCCTCCGCCCCGCCCTCGAGGCGCTCGCGCGCGACGCCCTCCACGAGCCCGTCCGGCTGACCATCGGAGAGGCGGGCGACGCCGCGGCAGACGTCTCGCAGATCGTCGAGGCGCCGCACTCGCCTCGTCCGCCGTTCTGCAGCGCGCGGCTGCTTACCCGTTGAGGAGGCCACCGGGAGAGAGAGCCCCTCCCCTCCCCCCCTCCCCCTCCCCCTCCCCCTCCCCCTCCCCCTCCCCCAGGTGCTCCCTTCGGAGGGTGCCAAGTGGGGTTGGCTCTCGACTCGGCTCGGCACCCTCACCGGCCGCTGCTCCCCCTATCTCCCCCATACCTCCCCCATACCTCCCCCATATAGGCTCGGCCACCTCACCGGCCTCGGCTCGGTCCTCGTCTTCACGTCGACCAAGGCGGCCCCCCCACCCTCCCTCACCCCTCGACACTCCCCGCAAGCCACTCCTCTCCCTCCCCTCTCCACAAAGGCTCTCCCTCCCCTCTCCACAATAATTATCATTGACAGGAATCCTCCCCCTCCCCTCGCCACAAAGGCGGGGTCCGAGGCGCTCGCCCGCCGGCTGAGCGAGCTGTGCCGCGCGCGCGTCGACGCGATCCACGGCGATAAGACGCAGGCCACCTTCTCGGCCAGCCCTCGGCCAGACCTCGGCTAGACCTCCGCTAGACCTGGTTGGACCTCGGCTAGACCTCGACTCCCTCTCATCCACGGCGACACGACGCAGGCGGAGCGGAACGAGGCGCTCTCGCGCTTCAAGCGCGGGGCAGCGCCGATCCTCGTCGCCACCGACGTCGCCTCGCGCGGGCTCGACATCCCCGCCATCAAGACAGTCGTCAACTTCGAGGCGGCCAAGCGACTCGACGACCACACGCACCGCATCGGCCGCACGGGCCGCGCCGGCGCCGAGGACGGGACCGCGTACACGCTGCTCACGCGCAAGGAGGAGGACGCCGCCGTCGACCTCGTCCGCTCCCTCCTCACCGCGCGGCAGGTGGCGCCCGCCTGCTCCAGCACGCGCCCTGGCCCCATCTCGCCCCCACATCTCCCCACATCTCCCCACATCTCCCCACATCTCCCGCCTGCTCCAGCACGCGCTCTGGCCCACCGCGCTCTGACTCGCCAACCATCTCCAACGCACTGAGGCAGGTGCCGCCAGAGGACTTGCTCCAGCTCGCGCGCGCCTCGCGCCGCTGGGCCGCCTCCGGCCTGCCCGCCGCCCTCGCCAAGCAGCAGCGTGCGCCGGGCCAGGCGGCGCACGCCGTCGCGCCCGACGCCGCGCCGACACCCGAAGCGACGGCGCGGAACGATTGCGCCGCGCCGCCTGGCGAGTTCGCGCCGCCGCAGCTCGTCGCGAAGCACAAGCTGCAGCAGCAGCTGGGCGGCAGCGGCGCGGGCGGCGCCGCATCTGGGTGCGCGCCCGCCCTCCTCGCGGCGCAGGCCGCCGCAGCGCGCCTGAGCGGGGCGCAGGCGGGCGCGAGCGCGCCTGGGCTGAACGCCTTCCCGCCGCAGCAGTACGCGCCGCCGCCGCCGCAGCAGTACGCGCCGCCGCCGCCGCCGCCACAGTACGCGCCGCCGCCGCCGCAGCAGTACGCGCCGCCACATACGCAGCAGCAACAGCTGCCGCCGCAGCCGCTCGTGCAGTCGGCGTCTCAACCGCCGCCGCCGCCGCCCAGCGCAGCCGCCGTTGCCGCGCGAGCGGCTGCAATGGCTGTAGCGGCAAGACTGTCGGCCGCGAAGAAGTGAGCACTCGCTCGCAGTCGCACGTCTTGGGCACATTCGGCCACCCATTCCCATTCGCCGCGCGTCCCCTTGACGTCGCCTCAGCGGCGCCCTCACTGAACTTGCACGTACGGTCACGAAACTGTGTGGTCCGCGTGACCCAGGTGGTTGAGAGTGAAGTACTTTTTTGCAGATGGATGAAGGTAAGAAACACAGCTACGCCACATACAGCTTCACTGCAGTATTAGTGAGCCATAACTGTTTAGACACGTGCCACCGGGCCGGGCACCGCGTCTCGCGTCTGTGTGCTCTCAGGTGGCTCCCTGCTGCTCGCCACGGCGTGCGACCGATTACTCCTCGAGGACGCGATCGATCGCGCCCACCTTTAACTTCCCGGCCTGTCGAAGTCGGGAATATTCGTCCGCAGACAGCAGCTTGTACGCGCCGTCGGGGAGCAAAACCATATTCTGGTCGAGCGTGGAGAAGTAGCTGTCATAGTCCATCGTTTTCACGGTCTGGTCCCACACCTTCGCCGCATTCTTCTCGCGGTTTTCGCGCGAGCGAGCCTGAAGCTTCTGGATGTAGGGATTTCCTTCCGACAGCCGCTCGCACGCCTCGCCGTCGCCGCTCTCGCATCGCTCGCTGCTGCCTGCGCCGACCAGATCCGACCGCTGGGAGGCCGATGCCGATGACGCTGCCGTGGAGAGAGGGATGCCACTCAGCACGACAGCACGCCGCGACAGCACTCCAGCGGATGTCAGCAGCAGAGTAAGCATCGAGCGAGCAGGGGACGATAACGTGTTTTCTTTCTTTCTTAGCCGGTTAGATGTTGGCAAATCAAGACACACAGCTCACACAGAATCACAGCGGGAGGAAGCGGCGTTAGTGGTGCGCTACCCCGAGGAAGCGAGGATACCTACCCTTCGGAGACGCTCCTCAATCGCAAACCCGCTATCATCAGCACAGTCCACCTTTCGCGCTTTCGGGTACTCTCTCTCTCTCTCTCTCTCTCTCTCTCTCTCTCTCTCTCTCTCTCTCTCTCTCTCTCTCTCTCTCTCTCTCTCTCTCTCTCTCTCTCTCTCTCTCTCTCTTTCTCTCTCTCTCTATCTCTCTCTCTCTCTCTCTCTCTCTCTCTCTCTCTCTCTCTCTCTCTCTCTTTCTCTTTCGGGTAGTATGTTCGTTCTTACGACTGTTCGCCCGAACGAACGAACGAACGGAAACCAGGTGCCATAAATTCGGTACGAGATTTGGCGAAAATTTTGCAAAAGGAGAACCATTTCACGCCGCCCGAGTTGATCGCTGCGAGAGTTGGCGCACTGCATGGGAAACCATTTCACGCCGCCCGAGTTGAATGCGAGTTGAATTGGGGGGTGGGGGGGGGGGGCGATCGACGTAAAAATCGGTCGGGCGAAATCGCCCTCGGGCCCGCCCCGGAGCGACGCATCATGCCGACCGTGATCAGAGACGCCTCCCCGCTGCTGAAGAAGTTTGCCGTAGGCGACTTCTGCTTTGCCATCCCCGCGTTCGCTCTGACGGTGGGCGCTCTGGCCCCGTGCAATAGATGGATTCGCTGGATCCCTCAGCGGGCTGTCGGGCGTAGTTCAGGGAAGAACACTCCCCTCCTGTCTCTTGCAGGCGGTCGCGTACGCTGGCGTGGTCAACTGCTTGGTCGATGGGCGGTTGGGCACGGAGTACGGATCCTGGTCGAAGGACGCCCTGTCATCCGCGACCGCGCTCATCTGCATGGTCATGATGTCCTTCTCACTGACGCTCTTCAAGGCGCCCGCCGCATTGAATTCCTCTGGCCTCTGCTCACCCGCTGCCACCCACCACAAACGTATCCCCGGGCGCGACTCAGCCTACCGTGGTCCCCACCCACCCACAGCTGGTGACGTCCGCCATCAACCTCGCCTACCCGCAAGTCGTGCTCGTCCAGATGCTCAACTCAGGTGCGGGCCCCCGCCTTTAGCCGAAATGCGAGCCATCAGCAGTGCAGCACCGCCCTCCCTCGGCCAACGCTGTGCCTGACCCGCTCTGCCGCCTGCGCGCCCCTAGGCGTCAGCATCTTTGCCTGCCTGACGCTCACCGTCGGGTGGATGATGATGTGGAAGGACCCAAAGCTGACCAACGACAACGAAGACTTCACCACCATTTTTGACGTCACCGACCCGTTCGACGAGAAGCACTGGGACAGGGCCTACAACGGCATTAGCAGCGCACCTATTTGCACAGACGCTCCTCCGCTTGCTGTGCCTTTGCCCCCGCTGTCACGCCCACGGCACACGCGGACACTTCCTTTGGGGTGACACGTCGCCGTGACCCATCCGCGCAGGCGTCAGCATCACCTTTTGCGTGCAGTGCGCCGCGATGGGGTGCGTCGCCCTCGGCATCGTTTTTGCGATCTACCCCCCCTTTGTGCCGTACGCCGAGCGCTTTGGCCCCAAGAAGATCACCAAGATGATCCCACAAAGCCTCACCACCGACGGGCTGATGCCGGTGGCGGCCTGACGAAGTGTAGAGGGAGCCGGACTGGGAGCGCGCATAGAGCAGCGCCCGACATGCGCATGGGTCAAGCTGAGGAGCACAGTTCTAACCAGGCCGCGAGAAGAGACGCGCCGCCGCATTTTTGGTGAGTGTGCGTCACATCTCATCTAGATTCATCTCGACACGATCGCCACGCCTTCTAACGTCGTGTCCAGTCAGTATTATGGGAGGATCCTTTTTTGCTACCAACATGATTTATCTTTTCACCCGCCGTGTGGTCCCGTGAGCAGCGCGCGACGCCACGGCGCTCGGGGCTCGGCCTGCTGAGAGAGAAGACCTTCCCGGACGGCAGTGTGACAATTACCCGACTGTTGCTCCGAGAAAACTGCGCCTCCTCCACAGTCGCCCAGATTCGCCTCTCGCTCTCCGCTCCTGCGCTCTCGCGGCGCGCAGAGTTCGTATCGCCGGTGCCGGTGCGCGAGCAGGCTAAAAAGGAGGGCATGCCGACTGGCTCCTGGCTGCTAGATAGCCGAAGCCGTGCCACCATTGATTGAGCATTGTGCCACAGCTCAGGTCGCCTCAGGAGGTCATCTCGACACGGCGCCGCGCAGAACTGCTCACTCCATCGTCATGAAGAGCGGCACCACTAGGTAGGTGTACTATTCGGTTGATTGTTGAGAAGAAAATCCTTCTATTCACACCCCTATGCAGATGATTCGGTTCACACCTTGGGTACCCCGCCCCAGCTCGCTGCCCAGGAACGACGGCAAGAAACCCAAGGGGGAAATGATTCGGCAGATGTAACGCATTCATCCACTTCCCGCGTCCCGCGCGTTGCGCACGCCCCGCCAACATGGCGGTCGCCGCGCAGCGTTTGCCGGCCGATTTCTCGGACTCGGGCGCGGTGCATTCGCTGGCCTCCGACTGGAGGTCGGAGCGACCGACGGCCAGCGTCGCCTGCGCCACTGATCCCATCGAGGTGGCGCACGCAAAGACGCAGGCGCCAAGGGTGAGGGAGGGGGCGTCGCAGACAGAGGATGCAGAGGAGTGTGGGGCGGTGCGACTGGCGCGCGACTACTACGTTGAGTCGGCCGAGCTCAACGCATTCCTCGCACGCAGCACGCCCGAGCTGGAGGAGGCGCTGCACCGCAACCTCGGCACGACCGCATTCGACAACCATGACGTCAGCTGGGAGGACGAGCGCGACGTGGCCACGTGCCTGCACTCGCTGCGGCACCGCGCCGCCCTACCGCCGAACACGCCCGCCTCCGTCCTCGAGTCGTGCACCGCCGTCTCATGGAACGCCACCGGCAGCGTGGTCGCCGCCGCCTACGGCCCGCTCGACCGGAACGACTGGGAGAGCAGCGAGTCCGTGCTCTGCACGTGGTCGGTGATGCGGCGGCAGCTGGACCCGAGCAGGGCGGACCACACGCTGCAGCTTCCCTGCTGCCTCGTCTCCCTCGCCTTCCACCGCGTCGAGCCCGACCTCCTCGCCGGCGGCGGCTTCAACGGCGACGTCATGCTCTTCCGGCTCGGCGCGGCCGGCGGAGAGGCGCTCGCCTGCAAGAGCAGCCTGACCGAGTACACGCACGCGTGGCCGGTGCTGCAGCTCGCGTGGACGCACACACCGCAGCTCGGCCACGTCCTCACCTCCCTCTCCTCCGACGGGCGCCTCCTCGTGTGGAGCCCCGCCAATCGGCTCGCGGCGCCGGTGATGGGCTGCCGCGTGGCCCCGCGGGCGCAGGCCGCCGCCGAGCGCGAGCCGTTTGGGAGCGGTAAGGCGCCCCTGGCCGGTGGCGCGTCTCTCGCCTTCTCCCCCGTCGACCCGTCCACCTTTGTGGTCGGCTTCGAGGCGGGGCAGCTCCTCAAGTGCGGCCTGCACGCCAACGAGGCGCGCTCCTCCGAGAGCGTGCAAGCGCCGCGCGGCGGGCCGGAAGGGGGAGGGCTGCGCTGGGCGCCCGAGGCGGCGACCCTGCTGACGCGGGTGGGCCGCTCGCACTTTGAGCGGCTCAAGGAGCGCGTCGAGCGCGAGGCGCAGATGGCGCGGGCGAAGGAGGTGACTCCGACGCTCGTGCTCGCGGCCCAGCCGCCAGCCGAGCAGCTCTACGGCTCCCCAGCCTCGCTACTGTACCAGCCGCACTCGGGACCCGTCTACGGGGTCGCCTTCTCGCCCTTCCACCGCCACGTCTTCCTCTCCGTCTCGACCGACGCGTCGGCCCGCCTCTTCAGCCTGCTCTCGCCGCAGCCGCTGCTCGTCACCGAGCCGAGCGCCGCGCCGCTCTACTCGTGCTCGTGGTCGCCCGCGCGGCCGTCGGTCTTTGCGGTGGGGGGCGCCGACGGGCAGCTGCACGTGTACGACCTGAGGCGGTCCAGGGGCAAGCCTGAGCTCGCGCTCAAGGTGACGGGCGACGGCTCGGCTGTGTACGCCGTCGCCTTCAACCCCGCCGAGCCCTCCCTGATCGCCACGGCCGACGGCCAGGGCATTGTGAAAATCTGGAGGCTCTCCCGCGCGCTCTCCTCGATGGCGCCGCGCGAGCAGGAGGCGTTCGATCGGCTGGCTGGGGCGCGGACGGAGGAGGCGGAGGCGGTCGCGGGGGAGGAGGAGGAGGAAGAGGAGAAGCGGGGAGGTGGAGGTGAGAGGAGCATGCTAGACGACTTGTCCATGAGGCAAGGGCACAGACTGTGATGTGACGCGTGCATCGAGGCGAAGTTGCGGGGGGGGGGGGGGGGGTTCTCCCCAGGAGACTCCACAACATCACAGTTGGTAGCTTGGTACGCGAATGCGAGCTTTAGACAGGTGGCGTTTATTTTTGCTTGGGCGGCCCTCATGCTGAAATTCTGCAAAAACCCTGGCCGGCCCCTGCGGTGCCCCTACCTACCTACCTACCTACCTACCCTACTTATGGGAAACTAAAAAAGAAATCACTCGATGGGTGAAGGTGGGGTACTATACCAACTAGAGTGATGGTTGGTGGTACTCTCCTGCATCCACAGTCCTTCTTGTGACATGGGAGGCCACTCTCAAGCCCTACAAGCATCAGATCACCCATTTGGGGAGGGTTGACATCGTGATTTCCGCGGAAATTTTCTTTTTCTGCTGTGAAAATTCCAGCTTGAAGAGAGGGAAAAACCCGACGGGAGGGCCCAGACCTACCCTACCTACCCCGGCATCAGGGCCGGCCTAGCAAAAAAAGAATACACGTGCGTTAGAGATCTTTTGTGAGAGACTTGCCCGCTGGGCCCATGTCAGAAGACAGCCTCTCACAGAACCACAGCTCGAAACTCGACCCCGCCGCTCCGCCTGCCGCTCCGCCTGCCGCTCTGCCTGCCGCTCCGCCGGTTGCCGTCTCCGCCGGCGGCCCACCCGTGCTGCTCCTAACCTCCGCCACGCTGCTGGCCCTTCTTCTGATCGCTCGCTACGCGATCAAGCACACTGTCGCCGGACGTCGCCTGTGGCAGCACCACGTCGAGCCAACCATGATGCACCTCGGTGGCCGGGTCCGAGGGAAGCGGCGCGGCATCGCCGGCTTCCGCGTGCGAGGCAACAAGCCCACTGCGACTGCGCGGACTGTGCGCGCGGGTGCGCCGTCGGCCGCGCTTGTCGCCGACGCGGCGGCGTACCTGAAGCGCTCGCACGCCCTGGGCGGCGACGCGGCCGCCCAGATGGACGCCATACACTCGCTCAACGACGCGGCGATTGCGGCCGAGGAGGTGGCGGAGGAGGACGTCCCTCGCGCCTCGAGCTTGGAGCTCGCCTCGCTGCCGCTCAAGCGAGCGGCCGACGTTGCGGCGCCGCCTCCCGACGGCAAGGGCGGAGGAGAGGGCAGCAGCACGGACGCCGGCGACGGCGCCGCCGCCCGGGCGGAGGCGGAGGCGGCAAAGAGGGCGGCGGCGCAGGCGGCGGCGTGCCTCTCTGGTGTTGTGAGCTCGGTCGGCGCGACCTCCGTCTCCGAGATGGTCGCCGCAGTCGCCCACGAGGAGGGAGGCGCCCGTTTCGATGCTGGGCCGCAGCAGCTCGCCGAGAGCCTGACGCGCGACCCGACCGACGGCTTCGGGCTCGAGAGCCAGGGAGACGCCGGCGCCGGCGCGGCACCCCTCTCGCACCTCCTCCGCACCCCTGCCTGTAGGCTGGAGCTGCACAGGGACGAGCAGGGCAGGCCCGCCATCGCTGCCGTCTCCGGCGCGGCGAGGCGATCGGCGCTCCGCGCGGGCGACCGCATCATCTCTGTGGGCGGGCAGCCGACCGCGCGCCACGAGGAGGCGCTCGCCGCGATCCGAGCCTCGGGCGACGACCTGCTGCTGCTTGTGCTGCGAGACCCGGAGGCGTGCCCCCCCCCCCCCCCCCGCGCCCGCCCCGCCCCGCCCCTCCTCTCTCCGCTCCCCGCTCGGTCCGCTCCGCCCCCAGCCGCCGACCCCTGCTCCTCCCTGCACACACTCAGGCACGGCCGGTGGTCGCACAGGGCCTCGGCCTTGACGCTGCGGGAGGCGATCTGCAAGACATGGAGCTGTGATCTCCGATTGTGCTGCTTTATTTTCGGGACACGCAGCTCTAGTGAGCGCCGACTCTGAACTGAAGTTTCAGGTCGTTTTTTAAAACACCGTACGTCGTACCTCCGCGGCCGCGGCGTCGGACCGTTTTGGTCGGTCGTCGGAGCGCGCGCACGATCGTGCGGACAGCACACGGAGAGATCGGAGTCGGACTCGCACTCGGAGGACGGGAGCCCGCGCAAGCGCATAGAGAGTCTCGGAGAAGTAAAGTACATGTCAGTTCGTCACATCTCGTCGTAGTGTTACGTTATTGCGGCTTTTGCCCCCACGGCTCAAGTCCACACAACTCACCGCGGCGCGGCCCGGGCGGCCATACTGGGCTCTACAACCCCCCCCCCGCCCCCCTCTCCCCCCTCTTCATCTCGCACTGAACACGTCGCGACAAAGACTGCATTCATTCTCTCCCAATCCCACTAACAGAGTCACACAGATTGTGGCACCCAGAATCATCGGTTCAAATCGGCTCCGACGACAAACACTCGTCGAGAGCCACCCAGCGACCCATCAGCGTCCACGGCAATCGAGCCGGCCCGGACCACATCAGAGCGCGCCGCCCCAGGCGAGCGAGGCGGCGTCGAGGCTGGCGCACGGGCGCCGCAAGTCCTCGGACCGCGACCGCGACTTGCGCGGCGGGGCGGCTTGCTCCTCCTCCTCCTCCTCCTGGCCATCGTCCACCAGCGCTGCCATCGGCGCCGGCGCCGGCGGCTGCTCCTTTCCGGGCTTGAGCTTGTTCCAGAGCTCGGCCAAGCCCTCGAACGACGCCGCGGGGGCGAAGAGCGGCACCGCGGGCGCGCTGCCCGGCCGCGGGGCGCTCGCCGCCGCGCGGAGAAGCGGCACGCCAGCCGGCGGCGGCTCGCGGCTGGGCGCGCGGCGCGGGGGCGCGGAGCAGGTAGCATAGTCGACCTCGCCCGGCGACGAGTCGAGCAGCTCGCTCTTGGACGGACTCCGCTGCAGCGGCGCCGAGGGGCAGCGAGCCTCGTCCCCGCTCCTGCGCCGGGCGCCGCTCGCAGGGCTGGCCGAGCAGCCCGGCGCCGAGGACGGCGGTGCGGCGGCGGGGGCAGCCCACAGCTTGCTTCTCGGCGTGGGGGCGGCCGCCGTCGCAGCCTCGACAGGCAACTCTGGGGAGAGCACCTGAGGCGAGGCGAGGCCGGGTGGTGTGAGGCTGTGGCGGCGGCGCTGGCGCAGTCGGGGGGCTGAGGGAGGAGGGGGTGGGGGGGTTGTGATTCGGCATCGCACCGGCTGCAACTGCGACGTGGCGCCAGCCTCGCGGCTAGGCACGCCGCGGTGCCGCATCCCGCCCATCCGGGTCCACGGGTCGCCGAGCACCGCCGCCCCCTTGACGCGCCGCTCCGCGCCCCACGGCTCAGCGGAGTCCATCGCCGCCGCCGGCGTGGGCGGCCGGGGGGCGGCCGGCTGCGGCGACCTCCGCTGCCGGCCGAGGCGGAGGGAGAGGGAGTGTAGCGCGTCGCGGAGGGCGGAGAGGCGCTCTCCGAGGCCTTCCACGCGCGAGCTGAAGCCGGAGCCGATGCGCGATTTGAGCTGCCGCTCGAGCGCGCCGCGGGCCACCTGCGGGCCGGGGGGGGGGGGGGGAGGCCCGTTGGGGGAAGGGGGTTCGGAAACCGGTCGGGGTGGGTGGACAGTCCGAGGGGGACACGCCGCCATAGACATCATGTGACATAGACTAGATCATCACCGGGTCGCGTGACGAGTCTTGCAGCAGCCGCGAGAGAAGCCCCGGGTGCTGCACGCCTGCTCGCAGAGTCAGAGTGTGAACGACAACGCCTCCCCAGCCGCAGAGGGGCGGAGGGAGGCCCGGCTGCTGCGCGCCGGTCGCGCCGCGCCCCCCGAAGAGCACGCGCTGCCTACTCGCACCCATCTCCTTGTTGCGTGCTGCCTTCCTTGCACTCGGGCCTCTCGGAAAGAGCGCTGCCTCAGCTCCTCCTCTGTGCCTAGGAAGCCGCGCACGAGGAAAGGAGCCTCGCCGAGCGACAGCGCGTACCCCTTGATCGAGACATGCACCTGACGCACTCAGCAGCTCGGTGTCGCCACTCTCGCCATTCTCCCAACCCTCGCTGTGAGTTGGTCGAGAGGTGCGCCTGCCGCAGCAGCAGCCGGCCGACGCGGTAACGAGTTGCCTCGGCGAATCGTCGCTCCGACGCGATGCTCTGCGCCTCTTGTGCCTTGCCCGTCTTGCGCATCTTTTGCGCCTGCGGGCTCCGGCAAGGCTCCGGCAAGGCTCCGGCGAGGCTCCGGCGAGGCTCCGGGGAAGCTGCAGGAAACGTCTCGGCTGCATCTCTGCTGCGTCTCGGCTGCATCTCGGCTACATCTCGCGCCTCGACCCTCGCGCGCCACTTCGCGTTGGCCGCCTACCGGACGGCCCGAGGGTCCCAAGGGTCCCCGGGGAAGCCCGCCCCTCCCCCCCTCGCCCCCCGCCGCCGGGCGCTGGCCTGCATGCGCTCGCGGATCGCGCCGACGATCTGCGAGCCAGGCGCGTGCCTATTAACTGTTCATTAACTGTTCATTAACTGTTCATTAACTGTTCATTAACGATCTGCGAGCCAGGCGCGTGCCTATTAACTGTTCATTAACTGTTCATTAACTGTTCATTAACTGTTCATTAACGATCTGCGAGCCAGGCGCGTGCCTATTAACTGTTCATTAACTGCTCATTAACTGCTCATTAACTGTTCATTAACGATCTGCGAGCCAGGCGCGTGCCGTGAGGCGGCGAGGATCGAGCGCAGCTCCTCCTCCTGCGCACAGGCAGCACGGCGTGAGCCGACGCGGTTCACAGCGGCGACGCCTCACCCAGCGCCTCTGCCTTGTCCCCCTCCTCTTCGTCGCTCTCCGCCTCCTCGCCCTCGCCCTCCCCGCCCTCCTCCGCCCTCTCGCCTCCCCCGCCACCGCCTCCGCCCGCGCCGCCGCTGCCGCTCGCGCCGCTGGCGCATCCGCCGTTTGCGCTGCCTCCACCACCGCTGCTGCCGCAGCCTCCGCCGCCTCCGCCTCCGCCGCCTCCACCGCCGCCTCCGCCCCCACCCCCGCCTCCGCCTCCGCCCGCCAACTCCGCCTCCACCGAGCCGCCCGAGGGGCCAGACCCGCCCGAGGGGCCAGGCCCGCCCGACCACCGCATCTGCCACTCGCGGAGCTCGGCGCGCGCAAACTCGCGCCGCCCGCGCTTGGCCCGCAGCAGCCTGCTCCGCTTCGCCTGCGCCACCGACCGGAGCCGAGATGTGCCGAGATGTGCCGAGATGTGGATCCGAGACCATCCGAGACCGGCGCTGCTTGCCTGCGCCATCGACCAGAGCGTGTCCACCCAAGGAGCGTTGACGGGCACCGGCGCGGGAGACGCGTCGCCGCTTTCGCCCGCCGCCGACGCACCGCTCGCTGCCGCCGCCGACACCGCCGCCGCGTCTTCCGCACCGCCGCTGCAGCAGCCGCCGGCTGCGGTAGGGGCGACGGCGCTGCCGGCGGCGGCGCCGGGGGCGGCGTTGCCGGCGGCGATGGGGGAGGCTGCTGCGGCACTGGGCTGGTAGGCGAGGGTTGGGAGGGGCGAGCCGTTCCTCCCCGCCTCGCCCGCCGCCTTTGCGCCTCGCGCGGGTGTGGACCCTCCCCTTGCTCCGTCGCCGGAGCGCGCGTCCCGAGCCGCCTCGAGAAAGAGAGACGCCTCCTCGAGCTCGAAGGTCTCGATGTCGCGCGTGCGGAAGCCAAAGACGACCGAGCCGCCCAGGTAGCGGTTCAGGCCGGAGAGGGACGCCCATCCAAACAGGCCGCCGGTCGAGAAGGCGAAGCGCTCCACCCGCAGCGCGTAAGGCGCCTGCCACACGCCGGGCGAGTTGCCCACCTCGAGGCCGCGCACCTGCAGGCCGTGGCGGCGGAACGAGAGGCGTTCGAGCGCAATGTACTCGACGCCCAGCACGCGAGGCAGCCGCAGCGTCACGTACAAGCGCACGGCGAGCTCGACCCACTCCCAGCCGACCCAGAGCAGCCCGCAGGCAGCGAGCAGCACGAGAACGAGCCACGGGTAGAAGAAGAGCACGACAGCCAGCGTCACTAGGAGTAGCGCGAGTAGCCGGGAGAGGGAGAGCATTGGCGGCGCAGACGATTGCTCGGCCCGTCGAGGGGGCCTGTCCTGCCGCCGCCCGCCTGGGACGCACTCAAGGCAACCAAAGAATTTTTTGTACCAAGGCTCCGGGCCGGTGTGCGGGGAGCGAACCTTAGCGACCGCCCAGAAGCTTTCTGAGCGAACCAATCGGGCCAGGATCATCAGCATATGTCCCCTCCACAACATCGTGGGCGTTTGAGCGGTATTTGAGGAGCACCGCGACTCTGAAGTTCGGCCGGGTGGTCTGCAGACCCCCCCCCCCCCCCGAGGCAGCAGAGGCTCCGTGGGGTCGAAAAGTCGACGCTGGGAGTCGCACTCGTCAAGCCATCGCAGCACCACGCGGTCCGCACGTACCGCCCACATCCCCTCCACCGCTGAGAAGGCGCAGATCGACCGCAGGGCCGCGTAGTCGTCGTTAAGGAGCGGTTTTTGGAGCCGTACGAAGAGGTCCCAGACGGGCGAAGATGCGGTTTTTCGACGACCACACGCGATATGTGGTATCTGCTTTTTGCTAAAAACGGGCCGCCTAGTGCAGCATCACTAGTACAACACGCAACCACACTGAGAGCTCCACACTAGCCGGTATAGGCGAGCACCGGCGGCCTCACCGTCGCCGCTCGCGGCGGAGCCGACGGCGGAGCCACGGGCCGGTGCGACCTTTTGGGGGCCCATGAGCTCGCCGGGACGTCGCCGATGGCTCGGCGCGCCTCTTCCCGCCAGCGCGGGACGGCCTGCCTACAGGAGGGAGGGGGGGGAGACGGAACTGAGCCCTAGGTTCGTGCAAAAGCGCCGGCAAGGGCTGGGAGAGGGGCGGCAAGCGACGGGCGGGTCCGCGACCTTTTGAGCGCCCATGAGCTCGCCGGGACGTCGCCGATGGCTCGGCGCGCCTCTTGCCGCCAGCATTTAAACGGCCTACACACAGGAGGGAGGGGGGGGGAGACGGAACTGAGCCCTAGGTTCGTGATCCTTGTCGCCGGCAAGGGCTGGGAGAGGGGCGGCAAGCGACGGGCGGGTCCGCGACCTTTTGAGCGCCCATGAGCTCGCCGGGACGTCGCCGATGGCTCGGCGCGCCTCTTCCCGCCAGCATTAAACGGCCTACACACAGGAGGGAGGGGGGGGGAGACGGAACTGAGCCCTAGGTTCGTGCAAAAGCGCCGGCAAAGGCTGGGAGAGGGGCGGCAAGCGACGGGCGGGTGAGCGACCTTTTGAGCGGTCATGAGCCGGCAGGGAGGCCGGCGATGGCTCGGCCAGCTCCTTCCCAGCGGGTTCTCGTCGGGCCGTGCCTGGTCGGCGGGGCTCGGGTGAGGTGAGCGGGCCCGGGAGTCGCATCTGCGCGTCCCCGGCAGTGGCAGTGTGGGGGGGTAGATGGGAAGTGCGGAGATGGGAGGCAACGCGCCTGTTTGATGGCCGCACGAGGCAAAGTTGGGCGCTCCGAGCGTCTTCTCGGCGAGAACAAACGGGCTGTGGATCGTCGGGGGGGTGACTGAGAGGGAGGTGGTCGTGTGCTCACTTTGTCGGCCGCGCGCGAGGTGAATACTGGGTGTGAGGCGCGCAGGAGGCGAGGGTGGGCGCGCCGGCGGTCGAGCCGCCGAACAATTCGACGTCGCGCAGCTCCGCGCCGGCGGGCACGACCGAGCAGATGCTGTCGGCGGCGGTCACGCGACGAGCGAGAGCCGCAGGGGCCCTCTGAGAGCCAGGCGCCGAAAAGCAGCGTGAGCGGCGGCCGCGATCAGCCACCTATGGGCGGCCACCGGGGTGACGGTCAAGCGCTGCCAGGGTTGGATCTGGTGCGTCTCGTATCACTGGTGGGCTGGGTGTGCAGCAGCAACGCTCAAAAAGAGGCAAAAAACGCGACAACTGTTTGGAGTGTCTACTTTCTCGACACACCGTTCTCGGCCCGGCCGGAAAGCTGGCTGGTGGTCGCGCGCAGCGCGTCAGCGCCACTCCGACTGGTTGGGCACCTCGGCTGGGTCCATCAGCACGAGGCCCGCCCCGTCGGGGAGCCCCGCGAGCGCATGGGCGGCCGGCGCGAGCGGAGAACGACGGGCCGAGATCGGCTGGTTTGGCACGAAAGGACGAGGCGGCAAGGGGGGGGGGTGAGCCTCGGTACCCTAGATTTTACAACTCACTCCGTCGCACAACACTGGGCACGGGACTGGCGCGCACTGGCACTAACACAGGCAAAGAATTTTACAACAAAACTCCCTCGCGCACAACACTGGGCACGGGACTGGCGCGCACTGGCACTAACACAAGCAAAGAAATTTCTAGCGTCGTGCAAGCAAAGAATCGAAAAAGGCAGGCTCTAAACACACTGGCACAACAAGGGCGCAGACTGGCGCGGACTGGCACACACACTGGCACACCACTGGAGCCGCCTAAGCGACTCGGTTAGGTCCCGCGCTGACATTGTCACCGCCTGTCGCTGGCGTTCACTGGCTTCACTGTCACTGTAACTATGGCTGTCACTGTTCTTGGGTGCCTTTCATTCCTCCCTGGCAGCTGGCTGTCACCAGCTGTCACCAGCTGTCACCAGCTGTCACCAGCTGTCACCAGCTGTCGTTGCTGCTGTCGTTGCTGCTGTCGTTTCGCAGCCGCTGTGACGACATATTGACCACGTCGCGACCGTTAACAGCCGTTTTAACCGTCATGACGTGAACTTTCCATATTCTCTGAGGACGGACCTACTTTGAGGTTGCCCGGATGTTTGTTCTGGGTTGGCCCTGCTAAAACGTAAGTGGGTACCTTAGACAAACAAGTTTCTTCCATTGTACCAACCATAAGCTTGCTTGTAAAATTCTTCATATGGCCTCCGCATACACGCAACTAATCCGTACACGATCGCGCATCCGAGCGAGCGAGAGAGATTTTTAAAGACCAACAAGAAATCACGACTGTCTTCGCATCCGTACACGATACCACGTTCGGATCGCTCCTCATCGCAAATCCCGTCAGCAGTCCTCCTCCGGGAATGTACGTAAGAGCTGCGAGTGAAAATTCTTCATATGGCCTCCGCATCTAGACACGTCACCAACTCCCACCCCCGAGCCGAGTTTACGTCCAAGAACGAGCTCCTACCCTGGCGCAGCGGCGGTTCACGACGGTGGTCCACAAAGCTCTTCTTCCTGCTGACAAGCCCAGGGCTGCGAACCTCGTATATGCCACTCCTCGCGTCGCTGCTGCTCGCTCCGGCCCAGGTGCTCGACCCGTCCGGCATTGCGATGCCCATGTTTGACGCGGAGAGGCGCTTCCACGAGAACGTCGCGCGCTCGCGCTGGTCTGCCAACACCATGGAGTACGTCGACGGCGTGTCGTCGTCGGTGCTGCGGCATCCGTACACGATCGCGCACGCCGCCGCGAGTGAGCTCTTCGTCGCCTCGTTCACGCTCAACCACGTCGTGCGGCTGCGCTGGATCGACGGCAAGCGCGCGCAGTACAAAGTGTTTGTCAAGGGACGAGACCTCGACGGCCCGGTCGGGATGGCGCTTGACCACGCCGGCTCGCTCTTCATCGCCTCCTTCACGAACGACGTCGTGCTGCGCGTCAACGCGTCGGACGGGGCGCTGCTCGACCGGATCGGCGACGAGGAGAGCCTCGACTGCCCCGAGGGGCTCGCCCTCTCGCCCGACGGCCGCCTCTTTGTCGCCTCCTTCCTCCTGCCGCACCTGTCCGTCTTCGACCCGCAGAGCGGCGCCTTCCTCGGCAGATTTGGAGCGCTGGCGCCGCAGCCGGCGCAGGCGGCGCCGCGGCCGGCGCCCTCGCTCGCCGGCGCAGAGGACGTCGCCTTTGACTCGGAGGGCGCGGTGCACGTCAGCGCCTACTACAGCTCGGCGGTCTACAAGTTCGACGCGCAGAGCGGCGCGCTGCTCGCCGTGTACGGCCAGGGCCTCGTCAGCGGTCCGGTCGGCATCGCCTGCGACCCGTCCTCGGGAGACATGTTCGTGTCCTCCTACCGCGACGATAAGGTGCTGCGCTTCACGCCCGGAGGCGCCTTCGTCGGCGTCGCCGCCGGCGCAGACGTGTCGCCCGACGGCGAGGCGGGCGCCGCGCAGGCGGAGCTGCGGGCGAGGAGGCAGCGGCGTGGCGCCACGATCCGCAGCCCGAGCGGCCTCTCCTTCGACCCGCACGACGGCACGCTCTGGGTCGCCTCGTACGCCACGGGCGCGGTGACACGCTTCAACAGCAGCGCGTGGGGCGGCGGCCGCACCTGGCGGGTGACCGACTGACCGTAGCGACTGACGCGCGGCGGCGAGTTACTATGAGTGCACTGCGCGTGCGCGTTCGGCTCTCTAGATAGGGGGCTCTGCTCTCGTCTAGACTGATAGGCCAAAGGCAAATCTCTCTATCACTATCTGTGTACTTGGAGCACTTGGAGTGCAGTTATCAACCTCACATCCAGGGCCGGGGAGCTCAGATGTGTACAAAAAAGCGATTCGGCTAGTTGTAGTTCCATTTCTACACTGTGGCATCTCGGAGATAGCCGCGCAGCGGCTATGTAGGTTATCCGACAACGCGAGGAGAGGAACCGACAAACCCAACCCACCGTGAGGGGGGAACTGTGACTCAATCGTCACCTAACTATTACGTTCCGCGCGCGCGCCGAACGAGCGTTTGTCGGACCCTCGCGCTTCTAGGCGCCCGAGTCCTGTTCTCGTCTGCCCCACCCTCCCTCCCTGGCAGATGATTGTGTTGTGTTTGTGTTGTGTGTGAGCGTCGGGCCTTATTTGGGCGCCGACGCTCGGGGTCGTCTGGCAACGGCACCGGGAGCTCGAGACGCAGCTCTCGGGGCCAGCCAACCCAGGAGTCGATTTTAGGACCAATCTCAATGACAATCAATATCAGCATGAACAACGGGGGGGTTGTTGCACGAGTATATGGGACAAAAGCGTCGAAAATGTCCCAAAAAAGCGTGTCTCGAGTTTGTGGCAGCTCCGCAGCCTGCGCGCGCTGCCGGGACGCACCACTTGCTGGATCTGTGCACTCCCTGGGTCCCAGGGAGTGCACAGATCCAACAGGAGTGAGTAGGCTCGACGCCGTACTCGAGATGGAGCTGCCACAAACTCGCCGCCGAGCGTGCCACCGACGGCGTCCCGGCGGAGGTGATGGAGTGTGAGACCTGAGGCTGCGGAGGTGACGCCTGAGGTACCGGTCCGTGCACAGCGACTCAGCCGGCGACCGCCACGGGCTCAGACGAGACTTGTCGACTCGTTCCAGCTCAGCTTCACCGTGGTCCTCGGGCGTCTGTCGACGTCAGGACCACCCATACAGCTCGCGGGTTTGAGGTCGCAAGAGCCAAGATGGTGGCGTTTGGACATCCCAACCATCACACAAGACAGCCTGTAGGTGATGGCGGGACGGCGCAGTGTTTGTGGCACTCGGCAGTAGGCACCCGCGGCACGGCCCCGCTGTCGGCTCTCGCGGGCTGCGGAACCGGACCCAGAAAGGGACGGTCCGGGCGAGTGTGGCAGCTCCTGCGCTAGTATGGGCACCCTCTATTATAGCACTACTGATCCTGGTCATTAGAGCTGCCAGGGATAGCGTCAGGAGCTGGTAGGAGTCAAAACCCCTCATATTTGAGACATCGTGTCCCATATACTCGTGCAACAACCCGGGGACTCGGACGCGATGGATAACAGCTCGCGTTACAAAACCTTGATTTTGACCATTTGCGCCATTTTGTCCCTCTCGGTGCCTTCCAGAGGAAGCTGCGACCCCGCCGAGTAGACGGCAGCACACAGCAGGTGGCGCGGTGTGCCGCCGTCTACTCGGCGGGGTCGCAGCTTTCTCTGCGCGTCCTGGGGAGGGACAAAAGTGTCGCCGCCGAAGGCGACTCGACGCCGCTGAGATCGGAGATCAAGCTCTGACAGGTCGCACGTCGCTCCTTTGACGCCGACGTGACTCACCCGTGCAGATCACATCAGGACACGGTCTCGACGCGCTCGGTACGACGCCTGCGACCCGTCTCGGGTCAGGTGGCACGACGCTCATCGCGCCTGCCAGCGCTGCCGTGCAGGTTGCCACGACGAGGTCGAGCACGCTTCTATACGCTCGCCGAGCCTTCCTTTCCATCCCATTAGGCAGCCTGGGAACGGTGGCGGTCAGAGGCAAAGCCTACGAGGGGTGGTGGAACCACATGTCACGGCTACTGCCGGCTCGACCCCACGATAGCCTCCGAAGGCTGACTTTGAGGCACCATCATCGGACGATGTCGACGAGTTGGGTCGCTCTCGCGGTAGCCAGATGACCCTCCCATGCTAGTACCATCGGCTAGGGCCGCAGGAAGCGCGGGGGAGGGCGCTGGGAGCAACACAGAGCTCCGTTGGACGTTTTCAAGATTAGCGTGTCAGAGTGAAATGGAACTAGCCGTTTCAAGCCCGGGGGCCCCCATATTGACATGTTGAGTCCAACCTGACGGTCCTCACCAGCCCAGGCCCAGCCTCTCCTCTAACTATTGCAATATATATATTGATATTGATCGCATCTCTAAGTATTGGAGCAATATATTCAACTAGCAGGTTGGCTCGCTAGTCGCTCGCCGGGCCCGCGCAGCACGCGCGGGCCTTTTTTGTGGCTGAGAAAGGTGGCACCTTCGACATTGCACTTGGAGTGCACCGCGTTTCTTGTCTTTATAGGCTGTCCTCCTATTTAGGATTCCTAAGCTTAAAGGCCCGCTAAACGCGCGAGGCGGTGGCGGCGGTGGTGCGGGGGATTGGCAGGGGAGGCGGCGGGATTGACAGGGGATGGGGCGGCCACGAGCGGAGCGGCGGCGAGAGGGGGGGCGGCGGCGAGGGCGCGAGGCGCCAACGAGCGAGGAGCCCGCGCCATCAGAGGGACGCGCCGCTGCGAGATGGAGGGCGGCGGTGACGGAGGCAAGGCGCGAGGCGGCGGTGGCGGCGGCGGCGGCGGCGGCGGAGGCGGCGGCGGCGGCGGCGGCGGCGAGAACGGCGGCACCGAGTTGTCTCGGTGAGCGGAGCGGCGGCAGGAGGAGGAGCAGCTCGCTGTTGAGCGCTTTTGAGCCTGGGATCCCATGCCACTGCGACCGGCGTGCCCGGGAACAGAGATCGCGCGCGCGCCGCCACTCACGACGCGCGCGCGATCTTCGCGGAGTCGGGTCCCCAGAGGGAAGCGGTCTTCTCGGCCGACGTCCAGCGGCGCGCAAGGACAGGCGCAGCGGTGCACCGCGGCGCGTTGATTCGCGACCACCGTCGGCCGCGGACGGCGGCGGTGTGGCGGCCGCGGGCGCTCGCGAGACGCGCCGCTCTGCTTTGGTACGGTTCGTTCGACTCGTTGTGCCGCCACACGCCCGGCGGCCGCGGGTCCCAGAAGTGGTTGCGCGGGCCTCTTCCTGGCGGCCGCGGGACGGCGTCGGGCACGTCGTCGGTCGCAACAGATGCGCGGCGAGCCGCGGCACGTCGTTGCTGGCGCTGGTGGTTTGAGGTCGGCATAGTCCAGAGCTCGGTCGACGAGTCGAGAGCTTCAGCTGCCGAGGGTGCCACCTTCCTGTAAGGGTCCGCCCGCAGGCGCATTTTGTATACCGAGGCGGTGCCCGGTGCCGAACCTGTCGGACCTTAAGACAGCGTTGTAGATCCCTGGGCGAGGGTGGTGGAGAGGGCGGTCCGTCGGCGCCAAACCACCTCCCACCGAGGTGGGCAGGTTCCACGCGTTCCCGGACCGACCCGTTGGAGGTAGACCGCTCGTCTAGCCAATCAGCCTTAAGCGAGCGGTCTGGCCGTTGGAATGGCCTAAGACCGGTCCCCGTCGGGAGGGACTCTGGAAGAGGAGAGCAACCAGGTGCCCGGGGGCGTCCCGCCCACATCCGGATGACCTCTCCTCCTTCGACCAGCCGTCCCCGTGGTGGTCACGCGGCCTCTGGCTGGAACGGGATCTACCTCGCAAGCGAGTCACCCGGGCCGGCGCGCGTCTTCCGGGAGAGGAGCGGGAGCGAGGGACCTCGACGCCGCGCCGCTGCGCTCCGCCTCGTGCAGGCTGCTCCTCGCTACCGTGGAGGCGCTGCCCGCGTCGGGCGAGGACGGCGTCGGCCGGATCCTCGAGCAGGAGGCGCAGGCGATCGGCCGCGGCGGCTGGGGCGGCGGGTTATCGCTCACGGTGCTCTGCGAGGCGCTCGGCTGCAGGATCGGCGTCGTGGAGTACCGCGAGGGCAAGTACGGGCCCGCCCACGTCCAGAGCCAGCTGGACAAGGGCCAGGCCAAGTACGTCTACCCGATCGGCGTCCACTCCTCGGCCTCGAGCAGCGCGGCGCTGTCGGGGACGGCGACTTCAGGCCGAGCGACGGCGGCGGCTATGTGGCGTACAAGAAGGCGGACTACGCGCACGCCCTCTCGCGCTCGGACACCGACGTGCAGATGTACCTGTTTGAAACCTTCGGCGGGTGGTGCAACGCGGTCAAACGGCTGTTCTACCAGATGAAGGACAAGGTGCGCAACAAGCTCTCGAAGCGGCAGCACGAGGACGAGGCGAGCTGGTCGACGCGGTCGTGGCTGTCGCTGCAGGCCCAGCGCATGTCAGTCGCGCTGCAGCTCGCGGCGGCGGAAGAGATTGCGACCGAGCTCAGGCTCGCCGCGGCGTCGGAGGACGCCGCCGTCGCCTAGACTCCCCTGCGTCACTACGTGCCTCCCCGTCTTTGTAGCCTGGCGTTTGTGCCCCGTTCGTGCCGCGTCCCGTGCCCCCGAGTTCATTTTATACAAGGGTAGCCCGAAAGGTAGTGTTTGTCGCCTCACGCACTATTTAAATTTGGAAGGGTAGCCCGAAAGGTAGTGTTTGTCGCCTCACGCACTATTTAGCACTATTTGAAACACAAACTTTTACGGTTCACCCAGCATTCATTGTTTCGCAAGCGCGTGGTGGATAGCAGCCCGAGTCCTGACCTTCGCACACATGTCGCCGCTCCGGGCTCTCAGTCTCCTCGCCGTCTACCTCCCAACGGCCCTCGCCGAGTGCAAGACGTACTGCCCCTACCGGACCCATCCGATGGAGGAGAAGTGCGGCTGGGCCGGATGCGACACCTGCGTACCCTGCCTGCCGTGCATGCCGCACTGCCCAGTCGCGACCCAGCCCTGGGAGGAGAAGTGCGAGTGGGCAGGGTGCGGAGGCTGCACGGAGTGCTCGGTTCCGCCTCCTTCCCCGCCCGCACAGTGCAAGACGTACTGCGCCTACCGGACGCAGCCGATGGAGGAGAAGTGCGAGTGGGCGGGCTGCAACGGCTGCGGCGAGTGCGCAAACGTCAGAGCAGTACGCGGTGCCTTTGATGCGTTTGCCGGCGGTGCGCCTTCACTCGCTCCCAGCCTAGCGCCGACCCCACACGTAAGCAGCTGCGTCTAGTCGCATTGAATCCTCCACACTGAGCCGTCGCCGCCGCCCGCAGGGGATATCACCCCGGTTATCAGTCTTCCGCTCGACCCGGAAAACTACCCGTTCACGGCGTACGGGGAGTTTGGTCGAGAGCACTATCCGAACCTCCTGCCCTGGCTGGAGCGTGTGGTTCAGTTCCAGACCTATGTGCACGGGCTCCTCGGTCACGGGGACAAGATTGAGATCGACGCCAAGGACAATACGGTGTTTGCCACCACCTCCTTCGTATCTGCGTGGGGGCTCTACATCCCGAACGTGTTGTACGTCTACCAGTTTGACCCATTGGGAAGCGGCAAGGCTGTGTCGCAAGAGCTCTACTTTGACGGACCAACCGCCAAGTACCGCAACTACACCAGCTTCCAAGCATGGCTAGCTGACGGCTTCGTGCCACCGGAGCCGCCGCCGCTCCCCGCTGCGCCGTGCCAGCTCTCCCCGGTGCCGCCTCTTGGATACACGGGCTGCACGTCGATGTTTGCCTCGCCAAGCAACACTCCAGCTGAGCTGGCCAACATCGAGGGTTTGCTTGCCGGCATCGGAAACCTTAGCTTTTTCTTGGGGACCCAAAACCCTAGCTTTCTCAACAGCTTTCTCGCCTCGCTTGTTGATCCGAGCAACGTGGACATCGCCGTTCAAAGTGCCTTGGGCATGAAGTACTTCACGACGGCCTCCGATTATCTTCAGTGGTTCGCTACAACCAGCTACATCGACCGCCCCATCACCTATGCGCTCGAATCAGTGGTCGCTGTGGTGTGCTCATCTCTCTCGCTCTCTCTCACTCTCTCTCGCTCTCTCTCTCTCTCTCTCTCTCTCTCTCTCTCTCTCTCTCTCTCTCTCTCTCTTTCTCTGGGTCTCCCTCCCTCCCTCCCTCCCCCCCTCCCTCCCCCCTCCCCCCCCCCCCCCCCCCTTCTCCCTCCCTCCCTCCCTCCCTCCCTCCCTCCCTCCCTCCCTCCCTCCCTACACTCGCACATGCCGGCACCAACTTGATTCGTAGATGCGCGTCTCACGGCCGGGCCGCGGGACGGGGAGGGAGGGGCGTCGATCCGTAAATCCGTAAATCCGTACATTTGTAACAAAAAAACACCAGAGACTCCCAGAGTGGCGCCACGCCGCTGTTCGCTGCGTGCCAGAACGGCCACCTCGAGTGCGCCCAGCTGCTTCTCGAGGCGGGCGCTGCGGTCAGCCAGGCCGCAGAGGACGGCGCCACGCCGCTGTTCATGGCATGCCAGAAGGGCCACCTCGAGATCGCCTGGCTGCTCCTCGAGGCGGTCGGCGTGGCCGTCGCGGTTCGCGACCTCCTCGGGCGTGCCAAAATTACCCTGCGACCGCCTGGGTATTTTGTCGATTTCCTCAATTTTGCCTCAGATTTTGCCCCAGACCAGCTTTCAAACTCAGTCAGGGAAACTCGCGAGTTTCCAGAATGGAGCACCAAACACCCTCTGTTTTCCCTGGAAATTTCCGGAAACGCAAAGTGCTGGGGACCATCTGTTTTCCTTTTTGTTTGCCGGTAAACCTCGCTCCTCGGACAGACAGCCCAACTGCGAACTGGCGTGAGCCAACGACATGAAATCACAAAGGAAGGAGCGGGCCGGGAAGAAGGTCTGTCTGTATTTTTCCCAAAGTTTTTTGGATGCCAAAATGCCAAAAAGAAATACGGTTCGCGCTTGTCGGCCCGCCATCGCAACACAATATGACCCACAGCCCGCACACGCCGCTCCCGCTGTCGACGCGGCTGGCCGAGGTGCGCGCGGCGGCTCCCGACGTCTTTGCGGAGCTGCCACTGCCGCTGCAGCCGAGCCTGGCGTCACCGTGCTGGCGTCGCAACGAGACGAGCCGCTTGCGGTGCCTGCCCGCCTTCTTTGTCGCCGGCGCGCTGCAGTCGGGCACGGCCGACCTGTGGAGGCGGCTAAAGGCACACAGCCTCATCCCCAGCCGGCACGATGCGCTCTCGCACTGGTGGACCAACCACCCGCGCTCGCGCGCGGGCAACTTTGAGACGTACACGAGCCGCTTCTCGGGCGACGCCACGCTCGCTGCCCTCGACGCCGCGCCCGACTCGCTCCTCGGCGACGCGTCTCCTGCCTCCTTCACCTTCATGTTTGCCGAGTCGCTCCGGCTGCACTATCGCTACCTCGATGCCTTTGACGCGTGCTACCGAGAGTGCAAGGCGAACCCTCCTCAACGCGGCGCGCCCTCCGCCTGCGCCAACCGCAAGAAGGGCTCCGACGGCGGGTGCCGCCGCCTGGAGTAGCCGAGATAGAGCCGAGATACACCCTCTTCCGCAAGAGGGCGGGTGCCGCGCCACTGCCGTCGTGGACCCTTCCGTGACACGTCCCGTAAGGTACCGCGCCGACCACTGCTACGGCCGCGCCACCGCCGCAACCTCGCCGCTTTCCTTCAACCTGCCCGCTTTCGCCACGACGTTGCTGCCGGCGCTGCGCGTCGTCGTGATGCTCCGGGAGCCCGCTGAGCGGATCTGGCTCTCCAGATGCGGAAGAGAGATAAGAGGGCACATCTGCGGCTGTGCTCAGCTGCATGCGGCGGCATTCAGCCGTATTCAGCTGTCTTCACACGCCCGTGTACCCACGCGATGCTCTGAACACTGCGCGAGACTTTGCCTTCCCGCCCTCACGTCGACGTGTGTGTTCGCGGCGCAGGCTCTGGATCGCCTTCCACAGTTACGGCCAGTACCCGGCCAAATACGGGCAGGGGGCCGCCGGCTTCGGAGGCTACTTTGGCAACCAGAGCGCGGCGTGGCACTCGTGCGTATCGCCCACCTCTAGCGCCACCACTCGCCCACCTCTCGATCACCTCTCGGCCACCTCTACCTCTCGCCCACCTCTAGCGCCACCTCTCGGCCACCACTCGCCCACCTCTCGCCCACCTCTGCACTGCAGGTGCGCCTCACGGCACGGCGTTCGGCCGTGCGCACTCCGCTTCGAGGGCCACGGGCCTGAGCAGGCGGAACGTCTGCTACTATCTCGGCTAGATCTCGGCTACATCTCGGCTATGTCTCGGCTATGTCTCGGCTACATCTCGGCTATGTCTCGGCTACATCTCGGCTATGTCTCGGCTGTATCTGTTGCATCTGTGACGGGCCCGAGGCGGACGTCTACTACCACTGCGACCAGCTCATCAAGGTCACCGTTGCCCCTCCTGCCCTCCTCGCCGCCGCCCTCCGGCCCTCCTCACCGCCGCGCCTCTCTCCCCCCGCTCAGGGGATGTACTCCGCCTTCCTCCCCGAGTGGCAAGCCTACTTTGCGCCCGAGCGGCTACTCGTCCTGCCGTCGAGCGAGCACTTTGCTCGCCCGATGCGGTACACCCGCCTCGTGTGGCGCGGGCTGTGAACAGCGCCTATTCACAGTCAGCGCGTGTGGAGCAGGTCGACCCGCCTCGTGTGGCGCTGGCTCGGGCTGAGGGAGGCGTCGCAGCAGGAGGAGGCGGACGCGCGGCGCGTCAAGGAGGGCGACGAGCTCGAGCAGACCGTGCGCAGGCACGGGGAGGCGCCGGCGCACCACTCCCGCGCGGTGCGCGCCTTCTACGCGCCCTTCAACCGCGATCTCGCCGAGGCGCTCGACGACAGGCGCTTCTACCGGGGGAATTGGGGCGCGCCGTCCTAAGTGAGCGGCTGTGCCGGGCGTGTGGTGTGTGGAGCGGGGGTGGCGGGTGCTGCTGCTGTGTAGTGTGTTGTTCTGCTGTCGCGTTGTGAGTTGTGTTCTGGCCGACGGGGCCTGTGCCTCATGGCCGGGTGTTGCCCCTCTCCGAGGTGTGCGAGACCATGTCCATGTCCTGTGCGCTGTGGTGTGAGCTGTGAGACCCGGTCGGCACAGTACTTCCAGCTCGGACGTTTTCTCATCTTTCCGGGCTTAATTAGCACGACTCGCGCCTTCCCGTTGTCCTAGATCTAGCCCAACCCGGAGCAGTTTCCGTCTATTCCGACGCGAACCGAAAAGAAGAAACAAATTTCGCGCGGCGTGCGCTGCGGTCCGGCCTGTTGGCGTGAGAGACGCACAGCAGCATGTGCAGGTCGTAAGCCGACATGCAGGGCTCCACAGTGCCAGGAGGCAGCGACCTATTCACCGCATCCAGCGAGTTTGTCGTGCAGGGGCCGACCGCCCTATTCCTCGGCTCGGAGCACAGCTCCAGTGAGGACCCGGCCGGAAGCTCGCAGCAGTTTCGGCGCCCGGCGCCAGGCAATCGGCCTCAGCAGCCGGTGCTGATTCTGGCGGCCGCCGCAGCTCCGGAGCTCTACTTTGAGGTGCTCGTCAAGACCACCGGCGGAGGGCTGCAGCCTCTCGGCGCCGTCGGCGTCGGCCTCTGCATTACGTCGCCGCCTGCCGCTCCCGGCGCGCCACCCGGGCGACGATACCTGTACTATCACTCCTCGCGAGGCGCTCGGGGCGACGTCTTCCCGCGCACGCCCACACACACGCGCGCCGCCTCTGGCGGCGGCGGCGGCGCCTTTGTCGGCGGCGCTCCCTTTGGGCCCTCCTTTGGCGTGGGCGACACGGTCGGGTGCGGGTGGGAGGCGGGGGCGGGCATCTTCTTCACGCTCAACGGCAGGCAGTTGGGCGTCGCCTGGCCGCCGACCGCCCTCCTCCCGCTCCTCTCCTCGGACGAGCAGGAGGCGCTGCTGGCCGGCGCCGCGCCCGCCACTGCTCTGCTTGGCAAGCTGCGTGCTGCGGTGGACGTCAACACGGCGGGAGCTTGCGTCGAGCTCTCCTTCGGGCGGGCGGGCGAGCGGCCGCTCCTCTTCCGGCCGGGCCGCCACTCGGCAGTCGCCACCACCCGCCCCGCCGAGTCGCTCCTGGCGCGCTTTCTGCGCAGGCCAGCCCGCGCGCAACCCCTGCAATCCCCGCAGGCGCCGCCGCCGCCGCTGCCACCGCACACGCCCACACCGGCGGCGGCGGCGGCGGCGGCGGTGTGGGCGGCGCGCGCCTCGCGCTCCCCCTCCTGCAAGGGCGCTCTGCTCGACCTCTCCACTCGGGGCAGCGCCGCTTGCAGCGACGGCGCGGCGCTCGCATCCGGCGCCGGCGTGTTAGCCGGGAGCGGAGCGGCGGGGCGGCAAGGCGCCGCCGCGCCGGCAGCGGCAGGCTCCTCTTCGGACCTCGCGCTGGTCCGCCCTCGTGCCGCCACGCCCTCCGGCGCTGGCGTGGCTGCGACTGGCGCAGCGCCGCTCGAGCGCGACGTTGTCGTCTCTGCGCTGAGGCGGCTCGAGACGCTGCTGAGCGGGACGGGGCCGTCGTGCGCCGCTTTGCTCGCGGGCCGCCTCTCGGGCTCGCTCAAGGCCGACAGCGGCGACTCGTCTCGTCGCGCGTCGCTCGGCGCAGTCGCGGAGCTGGCTCTCTACAGCGGAGGCTGCGACGGCGAGGAGGAGGCGGGCAAGGGGGGCGGCAGCGAGGCGCGCGTGGCGGCGTTCGTGCGCGAGGCGCTCGAGGCGATGGACCAGGCCGCCGAGGCCGCGCGAGAGGTGCGACAGGTGCGAGAGGCCGTCCTCGCTCACGTGGAGCAGTGGGTTGGCGCGGCTGCAGCGAGCCGCGGCCCGGCCGACTGTGCGAGCGACTCGTCGAGCGGCTCCTCCGACGGAGAGGCGCTGACAGCGGAGCCGTCGGGCGAGGAGGAGGAGGAGGAGGAGGAGTGCGACGACGAGGAGGGCGGCGCGGACGACGGCGCGGAGCTCGCGGAGGACCGCGCCGCTGACGCCGCGGAGGCCGCCCGGGCCGCACGGCAGCGGCAGAGGCGCGAGGTGCTGGCGGGGCGATCGCCCAAGGGGGATGCTGCGGTGGGGGCGGAGGAGGTGGTGGCGGGGGCGGTAGAGGCGCAGGCGGCAGGAGCAGGGCCGGAAGGGGCGGAGGAGGAGGCGGGGGCGGAGGCGGCAGGAGAAGCGGCGGACAGGGTGGCGGAGGGTGCGGAGGGCAGCGGAGAGGAGGAGGAGGTAGCGGTGCTGCCGCGGCGCAGCTCGTCGTGGGCGGCGGAGGAGCGGCTGCGACGGCTCAAGCGGCGTGGCGCCTTGCACTCCGCCCCCGACTCGGTGTTCACACCCGACTCGGAGGATGCGGCTGTGATGGCGCGGCGGGCAGAGTCGCAGCGGCGGAGGCGCGAGCGGCGGGAGCGGCGCGAGGCGGCTCGGCTGCAGGCTGCGGTGCAGGCGGCGGAGGAGGCCCGCGTTGCGGAGGAGGCGCACGCGTCGACGCTGCTCGAGCTGCTCTCTCTGCACGAGGAGGCCGCCCGCCTCACGCGGCAGGAGGCGAGCCGCGCCCGCCTGCTCGGCTACCCTCCTCCTCCTCCTCCTCCTCCTCCTCCTCCTCCTCCTCCTTTTGATTGTGATTGTTGTCGTCAGGCGAGCCGCGCCTACCTGCTCGGCGTCGCGGACCGCCTCGACAACGACGCCGTCGCGGGGCAGCCTGAGCTCGCGCGCGGCCTCGTCGCGCTGGAGGAGGTGGTCTTGCTCGCCGCGAGCCCGCCGCTGGCCACCCAGCTCTGCGCCGCCGCCCTCCTCTCGCGCCTCTCCCGCTCGCCCGAGCTGGCACGGGCGGTGCTGCGCGGGGGTGGGCTCGGGCCGCTCTGCGCGCTGTGGGAAGGGGGGCGAAAGCCCGTCGCTTTGGCCGGCGGCGGATCGGCCGGCAGCGGCTCGGGCGAGGCCGGGCTCGTCCCTCTGATCGGACCTTGGGAAGGGGCCGGGGCGTGGGACAGGGCGGGCGGCGGCGGCGGCGGCGACGACGAGGGGGGGGAGGGCGACGCCGACGCCGAGCTGGCGAGCGCGTACGCTGCAGAGACGCTGGCCCACCTCGTCATCGCCGCGCCTAACGAGGCCCTCCGGGCGGCGCTGCTTCGTGAGGGCGTCCTCGCGCCGCTGCTCGCCATCACCGCGCCGCCCATCGCCGCGGACGCGTTGCCTCTCCCGCTGGCACCGAGGGCGCGAGTCTTTGCGCTGCTCTCCCTCCCAGACGCCTCGCTGGAGGGGGATGCGGCCGCGACGCGCGCAGCCGTCGAGTCGCTGCTGCGCAGCGAGTGGCGCGCGGAGGCGCAGCAGACGGGCGCGCAGGCGCTGCTCTCCTTGGCGAGTCGCGCCGACGCGCGTTCGACGACGACGACCGAGGCGGCGGCGGTGCGCGAGGCGCTGGTGCTTGGCTGGCGGACGGCGGACGCGGCGGCAGCGGACGCGGCGGCAGCGGCGGAGAGCGCCACCCGCGACACGCATTGGGCCCACTCGGCGGCGTCGTCCCCTTCGGGAGGTGTTTCGCCCCTCTTCCGGCTCCTCGAGCTCTCTGCCAGCGCCGACGTGCCGACCGCGCGCTGCGGCGTCGGCGCGTTGCGCCACCTCTCGCGCGCGGATGAGCTGCGGCCGCCAATGCTGCGCGAGCCGGGCTTGCTGCAGGGGCTCGTCCTCCTCTCGTCGGCCGAGGACGCAAGAGTGCAGCGGCACGCCTTCCACGCGCTGCTCAACCTCGCGACGCCTCCGCCCGGCCACTCGCTGCAGTACGAGCTCGTCTCTGGAGGGACCGACCCGCTGGTCGCGCCGCTCATCGCGCTGCTGCCGGCCATGCCCATTGTCGCCGTCGCCGCCGGCGAGGACCTCGAGCTGCAGCACGCGTGCAGCCGGCTGCTGCACCTCCTCTGCCGCCGCGGGCAGCACGCGCCGGACTTGGCCGCGGCGGTCGCTCCGCCGGCTGTCGCGTTGCTGGACTCTCCGCACCCGCTCGCCGCCGCCGCCGCCGCGCGAGCCGCGACGCGCTTGGCCGACGCCGCCGGCTCCGACGGCTGCGTCGCTCTCCTCGACGCTGGCGCGTTGCCGCCGTTGGTGTCGCTGCTTACGGGCCGATTTCGCAGCGGCGACGACGCGTCGGCACACGCTGCTGAGGCGCTCATCGCGCTTGCAAAATCGCGGCGCCGGCCGGGCGCCTTTTGCTCTCCCGCGCTCTTCCGCGCCCTCGCGGCGCAGCTGCCTCGGCTCGCGACGCTCGAGGCACAGCCGCGCCACGGCGTCGCTGCCCTCTGGTGTCTCAGCGCCGCATGCGACGACCCTGCCGGCGCGCAGCTCCTCGCGTCGCACTTTGCTGCCGGCGACCCTGCCGCTCCCGCGGCGGCCGAGTGGCTGGCGGCGGTGCGGCGCGTGGCGCCGCCGCTGCGCGACGCGCACGAGGCTGCGGCGAGGCTCCTCTGCGACCTCTCGCTGCTCGCGATGCACGGCGCCGCCCGCCACGACGAGGGCGGAGGCGGAGGTGGCGGCGGCGGCGGCGGCGGGTCGGCGCTTGCTGCAGCTCCTCAGGCTCGCGCGCAGGGGGCGCCTCGCGTGGACAGCCCCCAGGCGCGGGCGACGAGGCCTGGCTCTGAAGGGGCGGACGCGACGAGCGAGGCAAAGGACTCAGCGCCGTCGCCGCCGCCGCTCGTGGCTTTGGGCAGCAGCAGCTCTCACGCCGACACCAGCTCGCTCCTCTCGGCGCTCACCCCGACGCTCGGCGTGCTCCTCCTCGCTGCACTGCCGCCGGTAGCGTCTTTCCGATCGCCCTCTCCGCGGTCCCCACAGCTGTCGTCGGCGCCCACTCCGACGACGCCACGGACCCCGTCGCCCCGATCGCAAGGGGCAGAGCCACTCCCAGGGCCGAGCCCGCGCGGCACGCTCACCAGCGCGGCAAGCGAGGACGGCTGGACCTCGGCGGCGGCGCTGCTCTGCCAGGCCGTGTGTCAGGCCGCACAGGCGGCCAGCAGCGCCGCCGCCGCCGGCCCTGCCCGCGCCGCGTCGCACTCGCCGCAGAGGGAGCTAGTGTCGAGCGTCGCGCAGCCGCTCGTGGACATGCTGGTCGCGGAGCCCGAGGCGATGGGCGAGGCCGCGCTAAAGGCGCTCGCCGCGCTCGGCTTCCCGCCCGAGATGCACGCGATCCTCCACCTCTCCTCCCACGACCCTGCCCACCTCGTCGACTGGTGGGTTGCGCACAGTGCGCTCGCCCTCGCCGACGGCGCCCCGCGGCCCGCCGCTGCCGCTGCCAGCCCCGATGCGGGCGCAGGCGGCGCTGGCACGAGCGGCTCCGCCGCCTCACCCCACACGCCGGCCCCCTTGCTCGTGGTTGCCGCCGACGCCTTTCGCGAGGCTGGCGAGGAGCGGGTGGTATGCGCCCCGCCGAAGAGCAGGCACACTCTCGTGGTGGCGGACCGCGAGCTGGCGAGCTTCTCGTGGGGCCCGGTGCTGGCCCGGCTCGTCGAGGACCACCCGCAGCTCTGCGCGATCGGCTTCGAGCGGTGCGGCTTCGGACCCGACTTTGTCGAGTCGCTCTGCTCGCTGCTCGCGTCGGGCGCGCCGCAGATCCACACGCTCTCGTTTCGCGGCCCGCCGCCCGCCCCTGCGTCGCGCGAGGCGTCGCTGCAGCGCGAGGCGTCGCTGCAGCGCGACGGAGCCTCCTCCTCGCTGCGGCGCGCCGGCTCCGCCTCCACGTCCGGCGGCTCCGGGAGGGCGTCGCCCCGCAACAGCGGCCCCGTCTCGCCGGCCGCGTTCGACCTCGTGGCAGACTCTCCCGAGCGCTCCTCGGGCGGCTCGAGCGAGGGGCCGCTCGCCTTTCTGCCGGTGCACCTCCCCGGCTCTGTCCGGGCGCTGCACCTCGAGGCTGGCGCCCTCCACCCGCACACGGCGCGGCTCCTCATCAACGCACTGCCGCGCGCCACCAGCCTCGCCGCCCTCTCCCTCGCCGGCAACGGCCTGCGATCCGCCGACGTGGTGCCGCTCTGCTCGCTCTTCGAGCCGCAGGGCGGCGGCGCGCCGCCCGGCTGCGCGCTCCGCCACCTGTCGCTGCGCCGCAACCGCCTCGGCGACGCCGGCGCGAGGATCCTCTTCGAGTCGCTCGCGGCGGGCGGCCGGGCCGGCTCCTGCTCCCTCGAGTCGCTCGACCTATCCTCCAACGGGCTGACCGGCCTCGCCGTCGAGCCGCTCTGCGCCCTGCTCGGCGCGCTGCCCTCCCTCACCGCCCTCGACTTGCGCTCCAACCCGCTCGGCAGCGCCACGGCCGCGCGGGCCGCCAAGGCGGTCGCGGCCAAGGCTGCCGCGGCGGGCGGCGCCGGCTCGCCGTGGGCGAAGAAGACCTTTGCCGCGGTGGGCGCCCTGCCCGGTCTCATCGCCTCCCTGCCGGCCACCATCTCGGCGCGCAGCCGCGCCAAGGACTTGCTGATCGCCGTGCTGACAAACAGCACGCTGATCGACCTCCGGCTCGACTCGGGCCTCCTCGAGCCAAAGGAGGTTGCCCAGCTGCTAGCCAAGCTCGCGCGCAACCGGGACGCGCACCAGCGCTACCTCGACCACGCGCACGCCGGCGCCTCCCTGCCCGAGCACCTCAACCCCGCATGCACGCCGCGCGCCGCCGCGTCGGGCAGGTCGCTCACGGGCAGCCTCTCCTTCCAGCGCCGCAGCCGGTCCGCGGGGGTGCCGGCGGGCGGCGGCGCGCCGCCGATGATTGGCGTCATCTTTTCGAACCCGCTGGCATGCACCGACGCCTCCGGCAAGGTGCTGCCGATGGAGACGCTGGACGTGGCCCGCGAGCGCGCCCTCATCTGCGACTCGTTTGGCGAGGCGCGGCGCGCTGTCCGGCTGCGATTCGAGCACGCGACGACCGACCGGCTGCGCACGCTCGTGACGCTCGGCACGTGCGTCGGGCTGCACTACTCGGGGCACGGGGACCCGAGCTACCTCTCGATGGAGGACGGGCGGGGAGGCGCCCACTTTGTGCAGGTGGACCGGCTGCGCCGGCTGCTGCAGGCCGGCTCCGCGTCGGGCGGCACGGCGTCGCTCAGCTTTGTCTTTGTGTCGGCGTGCTTCTCCGAGGCGGCGGCGCAGGCCTTTGTCGAGGTTGGCGTGCCGCACGTCATCGCGGTGCGGCGCAACTCGCGCGTCTCCGACCCCGCCGCGCACGCCTTCACGCGCGCCTTCTACCTCGCGCTCGCCGTGGGCGAGAAGGTGCGCGCCGCCTTCGACATCGGCAAGCAGGCGGTGGTCAACGCGCCGTCCGTGCCGGCCGGCGAGCGCGAGGCTGCCACCTTCTTGCTGCTGCCGCCGGACGCGCCGCACGACGAGGCGATCCTGCCCAACCTGACGCACGTGGACCGATGGGAGCCGCCCGCGCCGCCGCGGAGCACGCTCGCCGGCCCGCTGCCGACCGCCCCCGAGGCCTTCCTCGGCCGCAACGTCGAGACGTACCGCGCCGTCTCCGCCGTGCTCGACCGGCGCCTCGTCTCGGTCGTCGGCCCGCGCGGCATCGGCAAGAGCGCCGTCGCGCTGGCGGCGCTCGACTTTCTGGTGCAGCGGCACTACTTTTCCGACGGCGTGCTCTACGTGGACGCGAGCCTCGCCACCGAGCCGGCGCACCTCGCCAAGGTCATCGCCGCGCGCACCGCCGCGCTCGCGCCTCGTGGTGAGGTGGCGGCGGCGGCGGAGGCGGCGGCTGCGGCGGGCCCACGGGCGTCGGGCGCCGGACGCGACGCCGACCTCCTGGTGGAGGCGGCGGCGCCGCTCCTCCGGCTGCATTGCCTGCTCGTGCTGGACAACCTGTCGACGCAGGTGGTCGGCCACGACGCCTTCCTCGCCCTCCTCACCGCGCTGGTGTCGGCGCCGCGCATGCGGACGCTGCTCACGGCGGTGGCGCCCGTCGGGCAGCCACTGCAGGGTGCGGCCGAGAAGGTGGTCGAGCTGCTGCCGTTGTCGCCGCAAAACACGGCCCGGCTGCTCTGCCGCCTCTCGCCGCGTGCGCTAGTCCTGTCCGAGATCGAGGGCGCGACCTCCGGCGCCGACTTTGTGCGGCGGCTCGCGCGCCACCCGGCCGTCGCGGCGCTGAGGGGTAACCCGTCCCTCGTCAAGTCGGCGGCGCTGCGGCTGGTCGACCTCGACGGGACGCACGTGCCGCTCGGAGAGCTGCACCGCGTCCTCGTCACCGAGGGCGAGCTCGCGCTCCGCTCCCGCTCCCCCTCGACCGCGAGCGAGCTCTCCTCCCGCGCCCCGTCGCCGTCCGCCGTCGCAGACTGCCTCGCCGCCCTGTCGCGCCCTCCCCCGGTCCGCGTGGTTGCGACGCGCCCGTCCGCAACCCCGCCGCGGCCACCGCCGGAGCCGTCGGCGGCGGGGCCGCAGCCAGAGCCGGTGCCTCCAGAGTCGCCCGCAGCCATGGCGCGCATCGAGGTGCCGCCCGACGCCGCGGAGGCCCACCGGCGAAACACGTACGAGTGCGGCTGAGACGCCGGGAGCCTCCTGTAAACGATCATCAATGTGGGGTTTGTCGTGTGAAATAAAAAAAAGCGGATATGCGCGCTAGAGCCTAGAAAAAGAAAGAAGAAAACAGACAACGCAAGGGAGAGGGATGGGAGGACGGCACGCCCCCGCCACCACACACGACACACCACAGGGATTTTAAGGAGAGGAGTGACTGTGGTGCTAGCCGCTCTGAGCCCTGGTCTGACAGCCTGACAGCAAACCCCGGACAGCGCCTGACAGTGCCCGACAGCCTGACAGCGCTGACAGCACTTTCTCTGACAGTCTGACAGCACGTATCTGACAGCCTGACAGCAGAGCCTGACGGGCGAGGCGCTCCGTCGCTGTCAGACCCTAACGTGACAGCCTGACAGCTGCCTGACAGCCCGACAGCACACAGTGGCCTGACAGCAGCGCTGACAGCCCGACAGCAGCACAGACCGTACACAGTCAGACCCCCCCCGTAGAGCCTCTTTCTTGTGCCCCATGAGGGTATAACAAAACTATTACATGCAAAGACATGTGCATGTACATGTAAGTGTGGTCCATGTCCATGTCCATGTAGTCATGGGATGGTCATGGGTCTCTCTCTCAACCCTCCCGCCCCACCTCTGCGGACCCCTCTCTAGCACCGGCGGCTGTGCTACTACAAATGAAGCTACCAGCTAGCCTCTTCTGGGGCCCTATAGTCATATGCCTACGGCGTCTGGGTGCTGGGGGTGGCCGCCGCCGTCTGTGCCGCCGCCGCGGCCTGCGCCTGCGCCGCCATCTGCGCTCCCCAGGCGGCCGCCCCTGCCGGCGTGATCACGCCGTAGGAGGGGGCAGCTGCGTACCCGCTGGTCTCCTCTTGATAGTGTCATAAGTGTGGCTGGTGTGTGTCAGAGCCTGACAGCACCCCGACAGCTAGGGCAGCCCGACAGCACCACCTGACAGCACCTGACAGTAACAGCCCAACGTCTGACAGCAGCAGCAGCCTGACAGCTCTGACAGCTCCGACAGCGTCTGACAGCAACACCCGACAGCTCCGACAGCACCCGACAGCTACAGAGCCCCTCGCCTGTCAGACACGCACCCGAAAGCACCCGACAGCACTGACAGCACCTGACAGCTGGTCTGACAGAGGCACTTGACAGTGCCTGACAGCTGCCCGACAGCCCGACAGATCACCTGACAGCACCTGACTTCCTGACAGCCAGGGCTCAGGCTAGCCGTCGCCCACCCTAACCCTTGGTCGTCTGCCTCTTTCTATCTCCCTTCGCAGTCCCTCGCCGATGCTCGCTGCAACCTTCATGCCACCTCGCGGTCGTCCCACTCTCGTCGTTCTCCCTCGTGTCGTTTCACCTCCTCTGTCGCGTCGCTCTCGTCTGCCTCGTCCTGCGACGCCGCCGCCGCCTGCCGATCCCTTGCTCTCGCGGCTTCTCCCGCCTTTCGGCGCAGCTCCGCCCTCCTTGCTGCATATCCTGGCCCCTCGAGTTTATCGAGCTCTCCTCGCGCAAGGACGAGTCTTCTGACGCCCACTGCGATCATTTGCCGCCAAGTCATATCGTTGCTCAGGTCCACTCTCTCTTGAACACTTGTACCTCCACCGATGATGTTGGCGCCGGGGTCCCCTTCGGGTGCATCGTTACAGCTGACGACGGGATTACCACTGGTTCGTCCTCCTCGGAGTCTTCTTCCCCGGCTTCCCCCCGTTCGGCTCTACGTTCATTTCGTTCAGCGTGGCTCACCCTCCATGCCGTGAACAGGCGCTTTATCCACCCTATATTCTTCTCTCTCTCCTCTGCCCGTGCCTTGGTCTTGTCGTTGTTTCGCACCCATGTCTGTATGGCGATCGAGGCTGCCTTCCCCACTACCTGTAGTTCACTCGTCACCTCTCCCGCGAGCTCCCCTCTCTTTCTTTCGGGTATGGAGTCCGTGAGTGGGGCAGCGTGCAGGCAATCACGGGCGCTATTTTGTCGTACTCCTCTTCGGCGAGCGCTCCGAATCTAGACCCTATTGCCTTTAAGGAGGCTGCCCTCGCTCGTCTCAGGGATGTGGCGGTGTCTTTTGAGTCCGGCGCCTCCCGTTCGACTCTTGCTGTCGCCCTCGCTGTGTGTTTGTCGAGCTTCCGCATGAAGTGACGCGCCTCTTCCTTATTTCCAGCGCAGCTGCCGCTCAGTATGTGCGCCAACGACGCCTGTGGTGGCTCACAGTCTTCTTGTGTCCAGTCGTCCCAGTCTCTCCGTTCTCCGATTCTCCTCCTTGCCTCGCGCGCCTCTTTTGCGGCCTAGACTGAGTGCAAGAAATACCGGGGGCGTTTTTTCAAAAAAGAGGCATTATTGTGGGGTTGGCACTCCCTCAGCCTCACGACCTCCACTGCTGTGCGCTATCGTTGCTGCATGCACTGTGCTGGGTGGGGAGTTGGCCCCGGCAATCGGACATGGACAGGTACCTTAAGGTAAGGCCGGGCCGAGTCGAGTAAGAGGGGAAGGAGGGTGGTCGAGCGTTGACTGCACATGCTTTTGAGTACACAACGTAATATATTGAAGAAAAATGTTCCGGTTAGGTACCTCTGCTCAGGCACTCACTCAGGCGACACTCGTCGCTGGGTTTTTAGGCATTGTGGGGTTGGCACTCCCATCGACCCTCATGACCTCCTGCGGTCTCTGAGATGGACACCAGTGGGTGTGGGACCACAGCCAGGATACACTCGAAGGCTGGGTAAGCAGTAGAGGTCGATACTCGACGCGTCCCACATGGTCTGTGTCGCTGTCGGCACGCTGTCGACAAGACGTCGAGCGACACCGGTGGCAGTGCCACCCAGGAGTGGTCGGGCGGTCTCCGTCATGAGAGAGCCACCGTGTGATCCGTATGATGATTCCTGACAACCGCCTCGCTCTGAGAGGAGCTGGGGTCAGTTCGACAGCTGGAGCTGTGTCGCCGGCGTGCGGCGGCCTGCCTCCGGAGGTGCCTCTGAGGTGGACTGTGGACATATTGGGTCACCGTGAGAGAACGCGGTCGAATTTTCACTTGGGAACTTCAACTCTGCAATGGTGCCAGTGAGGCGAAGGCGCGAGTCGGAAGGGCGAAGAAGGCGGCGACCGTAATTCGGTCCCTCATCTCCACAAAAGCGAAGTGCTCCACGAGTGCTGAGTTATATATCAACCTAAACTCTGTTTGACCGAACCCAACCCCACGATCCACGTAAGAAACTGGCTTCAGGCGGCCCAGACGCCCTATATAGCGAGATATAGCAGACGCCACACCCATGAGACACATTTCTTCCCGTGCGACCGACACACTGCGGCTACGTATAGGCGCAGCCCGCACGAAACTCTACACTACAGGTACTCCTCCCTCATCGCCTCCTCCAGCCGCGCGTAGAATTCGAGCGGAGGCGCATACTCCTCGCCGCGCCGCGCCGCTTCTGCCTGCACGAACTCGACGAGGCCGGCGTCTGAGAGCTCGCCGCCCTCGTCGAGGAGGCCGAGGGCGCGCGCGCACAGCCTCTCGAGCGTGGAGGGGCGGTCATACTCCTCTCGCATGAGTGCCTCCGACAGGTCACGCGGCGTCGCGCGGCCAGCCCGGCTGCCGCCGAGCAGGCGCTTGAGCAGCGTCGTGCACACGCGCAGCGTCGCGCAGGGCGACTCGCCCAGCCCGGCCGCCCTCGCCGCCTCGACGTCGGCGTCCACGTCCAGGCTCGCCACGTGGTGCAGGACCTCCGCTCCAAAGGGGACCGCCGCGCTCGCCCAGTACCGCCACGTGAACTCAGCCTCGCGGAAGAAGCCAAAGGCGGGCAGGCAAAAGGCGTGGTCGATGGGGACGATCCCGCGCCGCCCGCCGCCGCCGCGCGCGCCCGTCACGAGCACGTTGCCCTCGTGCCGGTCGCAGTTGAAGAGGCGCGAGTCGAGGACGCTGAGCCGCTGGCTCTGCGCCTCGTCAAACTCGGAGCCTACGGGCACACCGTCGTGGACACGTCGCGGGCGCGTCACGGACATGCCCGCGCCTCCTCAACGCTCGGAGCCGTCGAAGCGAAACTCGCTCGCGTCGCCGACGGCGTCTCCGACAAACTCCTGGATGCTGCCGCACTGCTCGGTCAGGTGCTTGCCCGTCTTGGAGCGCAGCAGCAGCCTCTCCAACGCCGTCCGAGGCACGCCCGCAAAGCCGCGGTCGAGCTTGTACGCCACCCGCTCCCGGACCGCCCCTCCGCCCGGCCGGAACCCCTCGCGCATCACGTGCTCCGACAGGCCTCGCGGGTTATTCTCACTGCCCGCCTCCTCGTCCGCCGGCTTGAAGACGGCGACCGGAGGCAGAGGCACGCCGTCCGAGCTCTCGCGGATCAGGTAGACGCCGCCCGTCCCGTCCTCGGTGAGGGAGGGACGCTCGCTCGAGTCGGACACGACCCGCCGCACCGCCTTCACCACCTCCTGCGTGTTGAAGCTGACAGAGCGCGCCGGCGGCGCCGGCGTTCGCGGCACATTCTGCTCCTCGCCGCACAGCCCATGTGGCGAGGGTGGCGCCTCGCCGCAAACGACGTGCGGCGAGGGCGGCGGCAGCTCCAGCGGCGGCTCTATTGCTTTGATGAGCCGCACTATCGACCCGACATTCTGCTCCTCTGAGCTGGTGATTGTGAGCGACATCCGCTTCGCTGCACGCGAGAGCTCGCCGAGCGCCGAGCCCGACGGGTTGACAAAGCACACGGACTTTCGACGCGTGTTTGTGAGGAAGCGGGCGACGGCGAGCGAGGTACCCGTGCAGTGCGTGCTCGATGAGCATGTTGAGACACAATCTCTCGCCGCCGCTGGTATGGGCGGGTGCTCTGTGTCGCGCGTGAGAAAGGTGTCGGACATGGAGCACCCTCTGAGCCGCTGGAGGGTTTGGTCGGCAGAGCGCACCTAGTTTCACGCGTTGACGGGCCCCAAAGGGGTTCAGCACGGTGTCCTAGTTGGCAGCTTTTTTCTTTTTTAATGCTATCGATTTTTCAAGCGCGTTCCATCGATTTTTCAAGCGCGTTCCAACTTGTACAGTAACTTGCGGTTGTGAACAGGGTCGTTTGGTTATATCCGCATGTTACAATCGCGAGGACGCAATATATGGCACACATTGCGGAATTCGCACTCTACCCCTCTCCGGAGAGAGAGATTTTAGAAAACCAACAAGAAATCACGACTCTCCGTGAAACTAAGAAGGGGGTATGGGAGGAGGATCAGAAAATCGAGGCCACTGGCCTCTGCTCCCGCCTGGGATCGCCCATTGCAAACACTTTGGCTTGGCGACCCTGTGAGGCCTGCAAAAAGGAGCTCACCGCGCACCTCAGGAAGAAGCTCGCGCCGCTCGACGTCATCGACACGATCGTCGACACTGACTGCGTCACCAACACCTCGCAGCTCCGCCTCAACCTCGTCCAACGGATTGCCTGTGCAAAGACCAAGTACATTGCCGGCATCACGCCGCCCAATGTCGCGTGCGACGCTCTCGAGTTTGCGCACAACCGCATCCGCAAGTCCTTTGAGAGCATTGCTCGCGCCGACGCCTCGCCCCAGGCGCTCCGCGACCTCGCGTGGCTCCAGGCGCAGCTGCCGACCGAGATGGGCGGGTGCAACATCGACACCGCCTTCACGCGAGCCGACAGCGACTTCTCCATGTCGCTCCTCAAGAACTGGCGCACCCTCGTTGCCCACAACTCCGACTTCGCCCTAGACGAGGGAGGTGCGTCCAAGTACCCCACCATCGCCGCAGCCATCGCCACCCCACCTACCAGTCCGCCCTCTCGGACTGGAAGGAGGTGTGCGAGAAGCGCGCCGCCCGCGACAAAACCAAGTACCACACCGTCCGCGGCGGCTACCTGACTGAGTTCTACCCCAAGAGCGTCCCGCTCCCCGAGCCCGAGTCCCTTCCAGCTACCGACGCGATTCTCAATGGCACTTGCAAATCCACGTACCCGCGGCCGCGGGCGCTCGCTGCCATCAAGAATCACAAGGACTGGTTCGCGCACCAGGAGCTCGTCATGGCGCGGGATGTGCACGTCAAGAACAACCCGTCCCTCGGAGACAGCGCCGTCAACAACCGCGAAGCCGCGCGCTTCGTCTCCGCCTCAACGCCTTTCGCCGGCAAGGCCCTCGATGTCCGTGTCGACGGTACGTACGCCACCGCCCTCTCCTCCGACGCCCTCCAGGACGAGCTCCAGCGGAAGCTCGGCCTTTGGCTCTCCGTGGCGCTTCCCACCCTTCGGGTCGCGCTCGAGCGGGGCATGCCAGTCGATTTCTTCGGCGACTACCTTTACAACAAGGCCCACCACCGGCGGCCCCACGACGGCGTCCTCGCCGCCTGGGCGGACGCGATGCGCGCCCCGGCCAACGCGCCGGTCGTGCACGGCGACAAGGAGAAACCAGAGCTCACCCGGCAGTACAACGAGGGGGGTACAAGACTGACCTCGCGGAACCCCACGCTGGCCCGGGAGGATGCGATGAGGTGAATGAAGTCAAGCTCTGGACGCCCCTCCTCAAGACCTCCTCGGCGGGCGTTGGCAACGCCTCGAGCGGCGGCACGCCCGCCTCCGTTGGCCACTCCTACGCCTTCGGCAACACCGAAGAGAAGGCCCGCCGCCTAAACATGGGCTGCAAGGCGCGCGGGCAGCCCGGCCAACCCTTCTCCCACAAGAACGGCCACGGCTACGTCAAGGCGCATCGCGGTTTCTACCAGGACGCGATCTTTGTCAAGCGCAACAACTTCAACCTGCTGCTCCACGAGACGTTCGGCGGCGGCTTCTCGCCCACCGCCGTTCTCAAGCTGCGCCGCCTCGCGCGCAAAGTCGCGCGCGGCAGCGTCGACCGCACGGCCTACTCGCCCAAGTACTCGCTCTCTTTTATGTCCCACCATGCAGAGCGCATCTCTCTCTCTGTTGTGCGAGGCGTGTGAACCGCGCCATTCGCTCTCACCTGGCAACCCTGTCTGCACGTCTCGCGCGCGCGTGAACAGGGCTCCAGGCCCCAAATGTGAAATGACGTGTGAGTGTTAGAGTTGTTTGGTATTGCTAAAAATCTCTCTCCCATTGCGACCCAGAGCTCTAAGAGACATCGCGAAAACCGCGCCAATAAGTTGCTGCCGATTAGTTACCCCGACGGCGGCGCGGCGTGCAATAATTGCAAATAGGAAACCGCGCCAGACCGGCGGCGCTGAAGTGGAACGGCGCCTCGCACGGCGGACACCAGCAATATTAATAATTGACTTGAGCCGCGATGGTAGGACGCCGCCCTGAATGATGACGGCAAAGCAACCCGAATAATTATAGCCATTGCTCCCTCAGTGTAAACGACTGTGAATATCGAACTCCCCCATTCACACCTAGTCACCGTGGCCCAACTCGCAACTGGGGTTAAGCCTGCAACAACAATCCGCGGCAGCAGCCTTGAGCGAACGCGCTGGCAGAGCTGCTGGGCCGAGTCACAGCGAGGGCGCGGCGAAAGAAAACGGCGGACCGCGCAGGAAAAGAGAGGATTTGGTACAGTCTGTTGCGGGCATTAAGAAAACAGGGCATTAAGAAACCACGCCGAGCGATTTCCGCAAAAATCCAAGAAACCACGGCGCGCCGCAGGCGCGGCCCCAAGAAAGGGCCCACACACGAGTGTGAACAGGAGCCCCGCCCAAATTTTCTCCCTTCGCCTGCGGCGCGCGCACTTGTCATTTTGCCCAAGTCTGCGGTGTTCTGGGCGGTGTGTGTGGATGGAGGTGTGTGCGTCTTCCTGTCATCCCAACCACTGCTGACTGGCGCATCGGTCCAGCTTATTGTCATTTTACCTAAAAATCCCCAGTCATCGAAATCTCTAGTCTTTCTTAGAGATTGAGAGGAGTGAGACCTGAAGATTTCAGGCAGGGCAGATCTCAGTCTCTAGTCCCGCCCTTGAGATCTCCCAAATCTTCGTCGAGACTTCAGCCACGAAATCTCAGTCTTCCCGTCGCTCGGTGTGAGTTTCTAGAGGAAACGCGTGAGATCTCAAATGGCGAAGATTCCTTTTCGCTTTGGGAGTTTGAGATTTCGATGAGGGGTGGGAGAGACTGAGACTGCAAGCAAGAGAGATTCCGTTTTCGATGCAGAATGCTGTGAACTTCCTCAACCTTCCGACGCCTTTATCTCGCTTCGTTCGAAAAACATCATTTCGGGACAATCGAAATCTACTCGTTTAGGGCAGCGTGACTCGAGATTTGAGATTGAGACTGAAAGCAGCACGCTCGCTTGCAATGCTTTGCGCCGCCGCCGCCGCCCATCTCGCCGCCGCCTGAGGCGGTTCTCCACGAAGCTGTGGCCGCTCGAGAGTGAGGATGAGATCGTCGCGCTTCTCCTCGGCATGGCCCGCTACCCAGTCGACACACCCGATCGCGCAGAGGTCATCGCTGCCGACATGCAAACAAAGCACGCGTCCACGACCATCAACGTCCTCGTCAGCAGCATCGAGAGCGAGGCGGGCATCAGCGCTCTCGTGGATCTTCTCGACCCCATGCGCTCCCATGAGCAGGAGAAGTCCACGCCGCTCCACCTGGTCCCTTGAGTTCTGCGCCGTCTGCGCTTTGCAAGGGCAGAAGGTGCGCCTTGTGGTCAGCGACGAGCCCGTCCGTCCAACCGTATACTGCACGCACGGGCGCTTTGACGGGCTCCTCTACTGCAAGCGCTGCCCAGATTCCGCGCCAAGCACAACCTCTCATATGCCGAGGAGTCAACTCGGCTGGCTCAGGGCAAGCAGGTGCCGTATGACGGCGCGATGGATCGGACTCGCAAGTACGTCCAGCTGTCGCGAGACATCATCTTTGAGGGCGAGATGCTGTGGCGCCTCGACACGCAGATGCTCCACTCGCACACCGGCTTTGAGCCGTACGCCAAGGAGTGGACGACCTTTGCCGACGAGCCGCCGCAGCTGGTCGAGCCTTTGCGGATAGCGCTGTCCCTCTCATCTAATTCGGCGTAGACCGCGCGCGCAGCGCGCTCCGTGTTTGCAGACCGCCCTGGCGGACTCGTTTACACTTCCAAGCTCAAGCCAGGCGCCGCAGGCCATAAAGAGGAGCGCAGATTAAAATGGCGCCGCAGGCTCCCCGGGCCCCAAATCTCAATCTCAAATCTCAATCTCAAATCTCAGACCTCAGACCTCAATCTCACTGCAGGTCAAACCCACCCAACCCTTCTAGAAGCTTCGAGGCTCTTGTCTCAGTATTCACGCCGCAAATCTCCAAATCTCAGCTCTCAAATCTCTAGGTTGGAGGCCGTCCAAATCAGTCTCAAATCTTGAATCTCGAGCGAACTCGACCGCAGATTCCTTTTGGTGTGAGAAATCTCATTCTCCAAGTCTCTGGTCTCTAATCTCAAAGTCTCCCACCAGAGGCCGAGTGACTGAGGTCTCAAATCTCAAATCTCTGGTCTCAAATCTCTGGGTAGCACTGTAGACCCGAGTGGAGTCTTTCAAATCTTTAAGCTCTCAATCTCTAAAAAAGACTAGAGATTTCAATTACTCAAAATCCCGGCTGACCTGACAAAACAAAATGGTATTGCTAAAAATATCTCTCTCTCTGACCTGGGGTGCCGGCCGGCCGAAGCTAAGAAACCACGGCGTGGGGTGGGTGGGGTGGGTGGAAAGGCTTAGAAACGGCGGCGTGCCGCGGGATCCTGTTTTCTTAATGCCCGCAACAGAGTGTACATGTAGAGAGAGCAAGCTGAAGCTAAGCACATGTATGCTCAACCTCTCTGAGAAGATTTTGACCACCGAAGAACGACGTCCGTGTGCCGGTGAACCTTCTTTTCTAGACCGGAAGGATTGAGAGCAGCCTCGCTCTCAATCCTTCTCTAGAAAAGAAGGTTCACGGTGCCGGTACAGTTGTAGCCGCGACAGCGACGGCAAAAATGCAAGCCCCGTCCCTGGCCACTGGAGCGGGAGGCGCGAGTTCCATTCCAGGCCGGCGGCGAAGGGTCGCCACTGCGCTCCTCGTCCTCGCGGCAATAGCTGCTTGGCCAAAGCTATGGCCAGCCCTTCGCCGTGCTCTGCAGTCGCTCGCGGCGGTGGTGCGGTCGTCGGAAAAGCTGCTGAACGGAGAAAACTGCACTGCAGCGTCGCCCAGGGCACTGCAATCACGCCAGGAGAGCGAGGAGAGCACAGTGCCGCGACGGCGACAGCCAGCGTCTCCGCCACTCGACGCTTCCCAGCTGCAGTGCTCCCGTCGAAGCCACTCGGCCTGCTGCTCCGCCGAGACAAGCTTGCCGCCTGCGCGCCGGTCCGCGGCGGAAGCGGCGAGGCCTGCAATGAGGGCGGCGGCGGCAGCAGCGGACGAGGTGGCGGACGAGGTAGCGGCCGTGGCGGCGGCAGTGGCGGCGGCAGTGGCGGCGGAACGACAGCGGGCGGAGGCTTCAGTGGCGGCGGCAGTGGCGGCAGAGCGAGAGAGGGCGGCGGCGGAGGCGGCGGCGGTGGAGCGCGAGCGCGAGGCGAAGGAGAATGCGCGGCTCTCGCTGCTCGTCGAGGCCGCCCTCCAGCCTCTCGCTGCCACAGCCCGCCCCAGGGACCTGTGTGACCGAAGCCCCGGCCCCCGCCCCCTCCGTTCAGGCGGCGGCGAGCGAGGCGGAAGGGCTGCGCAGCTCGCTCGCGGCGGCGCGCGCCTCCGCGGCCGATGCGTCGGCAGACGCCGACGCGGAGGTTGCTCAGCTGCGCGCCGAGCTCGACGAGCTGCGCGCAGAGATGGAGCAGCTGCGCGCAGAGAGAGGCGGCGAGGCGCGGCTGGCGGGCCCGGGCGCTGTTGCCGGCGCGAGGGCGGTGAGCAGCGCTGAGGCGCGTGCGTGCCGCGCGGAGGCACGCGCGGCAGCCGCGGAGGAGCGAGCCGCCGCCGAGGCCGCCGTGCTCCGCGCGGCGACGGGCGACGCGCGGGCGCGGATCGCGGAGCTCGAGGCGCAGCTCGAGAGAGCGCGGCTGGCGCAGGAGCGGGCGGAGGCGGCCGCGGCCGCCGAGGGCGCGGCCGCGGAGGCGGCGCGGAGCGACGCGGAGGAGGCGATCTGCGCCGCGGCCGCCGCCGCGCAGCAGGCCGGGGCGGCGGAGCGGGCAGCGCAAGCGGCGGCGGCGGCGGCGGGTCGGCGTATTGCCGGGGAGCTGGGGGGTGAGGGCGCAAGGGCTCGTCGCCGGGCGTGGCTTGTCGTTCCCGTGGCGAGAGGCTGCCGACTTGTCGGCCGTAGGAGAGCGAGGCCACGAGACGGCGAGTCCACAGAGACGGGGCGCAAACGGGTGCGCGAGCCACTCCCGCGCCCGCACCGGCGCCGTCGCGTCACTCTCGCCACCACCACCACCACCACCACCACCACCACCACCACCACCACCACCACCTCCTCCACCTCTCGGACGGCATGCACCCCAGACAGGAGCTCACCGGCGCCGCTGCAGGCACTCTGCGTGGCCGTAGTCTCGGGCAATCTCGGTTCATCTCGCGCCATCTCCCACAGGCACTCTGCGTGGCCCTCCCCCTCCGCGTGGCCTTCGCCGCCGAGCGAGGCATCGCCCTCCGCCGCCCGTGCTGATGGCGACCCGTCCCGCCTCTGCGACATGCCGCGCGAGAGCGTGGTGCGACCGCCGCACGAGGCGGTGAGCCCTGTCTGCGCGGTCTGCGGCGTCGTGAGCCCGACGCGCGAGCCGTGGCGCGACCACGACTTGGCGAGGACTGAGTTGTGGCAAGCAGCTCGGCGGGCGGAGGCGTCGCCGCCACTCGTGCGGCTGCACGCGGCCGGAACAAGGCGGGGCGGCGAGGTGGCGCAAGAGGGAGAGCGCTCTCCACGGGCATCATGCGAGTCGAACGAGACGGCGGCGGCGGGCTGGGAGGGTGGCGCGAGCGTGGAGCGGGAGCAGGGAGCGGGAGAGGAGCAGGGAGCTGGAGAGGCGTCTGTGGCGAGCGGCAAGGCGGAGGGCGAGGCGGAGCTGCAAGCCGGAGAGCAGGTCTCGCCGCGGGCGGGCGGCAATGGCGGCGTCGCCGACGAGGAGGACAAAGGCTAGCCAGCTCTGGCCGCACGCTGCTCACACACACCGCCTCACTTTTGCCCGCCGTTGCTGCTCAGAGCGTCTCCGCCGCACGGGCGACACCTCCGCTTCTTCTACCGATGCGGACCGCACCCAGCTGCAGCAGCTTCTAGGCGAGTGGCGAAACGATATCGTGCGCGAGCTGCTGGAAGTCTCGAGATGACGGCCGGGGCGGGAGGAGGCCCCGGGGGGAGGAGGATAGCATCGCTTTCACTCAGCGCGGTCGGACAGCGCACACGCGCCGGCGCGGTGCGAAGGAGGGGCTTCCCTCTTTCCCGCCCTTCCGCTGGTAATACGCTTCGCACGATTCTCTCTCCACCTCTCTCAGTCAACGCAGCACACAAACGCAGTAGTGTACTCGCGGCTTCGCTCTCTATCCAACACACGCGTGTCTTCTCTCTCTCTCATGTGTGTGTGTATGTGTTGTGTGTGCATGTGCAGCACGATCGTGGTTCGTGCTCTAAGAATAATACGTTTCCAGAGCGGCGCGCATGCAAGTGCCAATCGACAAAGAAACATGGACAGAGTCTCTACCGTACCCGGGCGTGTGCGCGCATGCACCGGCTTGCGGCTCCGTCGCCTCTCTGCCTCTCCCCCCCCGTCACTGATCGGTCCCCGTATAGAGCCGTATCTCTACTCCGCCCCCTGCCAGTGCCGCCCGCAAGGAGGGGCCGCTGGGGATCGTCGCAGAAATTCCACCCGGATTTCGAGCCGAGCAAGGCTTGTACATGAGCCAAGCCTTTGTGCAAGTCGCCGAGGCATCGAACGCACCAACCACACCGTTCAGAAGCGGGGCCCGTTGGGACCCCAGAAAAACGGCTTCTTTCGTCCTCGGAACTCCTTGACGTACGACTTGGATGGGAGGCCGACGAACCAGGGGCTGATAGGAATCATGAATATGTACTCGAGGATACAAGACAGCAAGAGCCCCGCGAACTTCAGCTTGGGTCCAGCGAGCAAGTTTGCACCAGCAGTCGCAGGCGCAGCGTCGGCGCCAGTAAACAGCCACACGGCGTGGTCGTTCGCGAACGCGTTTTCGACGCCAAAGAGCTGAAGGAACATGCCGTTTGGTGCTGCTAGCACCCAGAGGCAGTACGTGGTCAGGATGAGCGACGTCAGCACACACTTGCCGCTGAGCGTCTTGAGGTTGCACCGCCTCATGCGGGCCCGCAACTTGTGTGCAGCAGACGCCGATGTCGATGGCGCGACGGTAGCCGTGCCCTGAATGAGTGACAGGGGGGTGACCTCGCGGTTCCAAAAGAAGGAGGCCAAGGACACCAGCCAAAAGGCGGTCAAGACGCAGTTCATCCTGAGGAAGGTCATCGTCCACAGCAGCCAGCTCTCCAGCTGCTCCTCCGTGGGGTCGGGCTCCAGCGTGATGAACCACTTGTACACGTCGTTGCTCACGATCGGGAAGAGAGGCCAGAGGAAGAAGAATACTCCCCCGATAGGGATACACTGCGTGAAGATCCGGCACCGCCAGCCGTTCGCCGTGAAGACGAACCACCGGCAGTATTCTCGGCACGAGCACGCCATCGGATACTTCTCCCTGGTGTACAACTTGTCCATTGCGGCGGTGATCGACACGTTTGACGGGTGCGCTGCCTTTTCATAGTCCTCTCTCTCCATGAGCAACGCCTTCCGACCCGCCACGACCTCCGGGTCGTCCTCCGAGCGACCAGCCGCAAACTGCTCGAGCTTTGTCTCCTCCTTCTCGATGTTCGCCCACCTCTTCTTCAAGTAGACGGCCACTTTCTTGTCCGCAGTGACCTTCTCATGGACTAACTTCACGATGATATAGAGGGAGAAGATCAGGCGCACCGAAAAGCCGACGTGCTCAAAGTTGAGCATGAAACCCCACTCGCTCGCGAAGGTTGTCATCCAGTGCCAATTTTGCGCATGGATGGGGTACAGGAGCGCCTTGGGAACGAATGGTGCCGACCAGTGCAAAGGGGCGAGCTCCGAGATCGCGGGCAGCGGGGTCGTTGCCCAGCCGGCCCCAAAGTAGGCGAGGCCCGTGCCGCGAGAGTGGACCAGCCCGAGGCCTGGGCCGGCGAGGGCGTACATCTCCGAGATTACAAAGCTAAAGAAGAAGAGCTCGAGGGCGATCCAGATTGGCCAGGCGGTATCCCCCGACACCAGATGGCAACCCGGGACCCTCGTAGATTTTTGCACATTGCTTAGCATCACCGGCGTCACGCCGGCTTCGTGCATCTTGTTCGTAAAGCCTTCTATATTCCCCAAATCCATAGGGATCATGGGTGTGAACTCCATCAGGCTCATGCACCTCCAACCCACGAGACGGCAAGCGTACCAAAGCTGCCGAAGCGTGTACAGGAGGCACAGAAAGACCCGGAGCAAACAGACAAGCGAGAGCACAATGAAGTAGGCCGTCCAGAGCGTGGCCATCTCGTCGGGCGCCTCCACCGCGGCGAAGTAGCTGCACGCAGAGATCGGCACACCGTAGGACCTGATGCAGTGATCTCGCCACTCTGGCGGAGGCGTCCAGACCTCTGGAGAGCCGGCCGTGTGATTGAGCCAGCTCATCTCCATCGCGTACGGCGAGGCGAGCGAGGTGTTCCCGAGGAGGTACCACCCGAATTCCTCGCTTTGTGGACGTCCAGGGTGCATGCTCGGCAGGAGGATGCCGTAGACGCACGACCTCACGACGAAATACCCCATCAAAAAGACAATGAAGTGGATAAACTGTGTATTGAGGTTGCGTATGTCGTCCTTGCCGCACCTCTCGAGGCAGGAGACCTCTTCGCCCTCGTACGCACACGCGCACCGCCCAGGCATCTTGTGCGGTTGGTAGGGGGTGAGGCTGGCCAATGGTGTGCTCGGAACACGAACGGACGAAGTTTGTCCATTTTGGTCGTAACCGTTGTTGTACGTCCACTTTTAGCTTACTGGGAGAAAAGCCTGTTTTCTCCCGCCCTCCTGCCCCTCTCTTGGCGTTTTTTGTACGTACTTTTAGTACGCCTTCTCCGTTGTTGAGTCTGTTCTCGACTGACGACTGTCGTGTGCGTTCTGTGAAGCTGAAACGTGAAAGTGTGCACCACGAGGGGCACCGCCACCTGGCGGGAGGTGCGCGCGGTTGGAGCCCCAGCCCCCACGGCAGAGCAGGCAAACGAGGATCGAGGTCGAGGCAGCAGCCGCGCCAGATCGCGATTCGCGTCGCCGCGAGGCGCCTGTTGTTGTGGCATGTCACATCAGCCCTGAGGTCATATCCTTCTCCTCTGTTGATGGTAACACTTGTCTACTCGCTGGAGCCGAGCAGGAGGGCTTGGCGCACAACCCCTGTTCATGTGTTCAACTCAGGGTCCTTGCCTCCTTCCCCTTTATTATATTTACTAAAAAGTGATGGCTGGGGATCCTAAAGGGCTGATCCCCGCTTACCACGGCCACGGTGGCAAGCGCAGGTGGACCAGAATGGCAATGCCTCCGAGCGCCGCGAGGGCGGTGAAGAAGTAGGTGGCCGAGCCGAGGCAAGCGAGGAATGCGGTGTAGCCGAGACCCGCGCCTATCGGGCCGAGCATCGCTCCAAGGAAGCACGCCTGCTGGTTGATGCCGAACACGACGCCCGGCGGTCCGGATGCACACGCCTTGGAGAGGGTGAGGCTCGCGGTGTAGATGAGGTTGCGGCTGACCGAGCACAGCATGTAGCTGCATGCCGCCAGCAGCGCCCCCGCTCTCGCGACGGCAGTCGTGGGCAGCAGCGCTGCGGCGGCGGGTGTGGCGGCGAGAAGGAGCGGAGCCAGTGCGATGGAAACGAGGCCGACCCGCATGGCGCCGACAGGCCCAAAAGCGTCGATGACCCTACTCACGGAACTGTGCGGTCTGCGTGGCGTGGCGTGGCGTGGCGTGGCGCCCCCCTCCCCCCCACACCCCACCCCCCCACCCCCCCCTCGCGGCCACCTGTAGGTGAGCAGCAGGGCGACGAGGATCGACGTCACCCCCACAACTGTTTGCAGCATCCCGATGGAGGACGAGCTGAAGCCGAGTCCGCCGTGGTATACCTATGTGCGTGACAAGCTCCGAGCAGGCTCAGCGACGGCTCAGGGCGCCGAAACCGAACTCCGTTCGCGGCGTGCCGGCGTCGCGAGGAACACGGGCAGCACGTCGCTCAGCCCGACGACGGTGAAGCAAAAGAGAAAGCAGTGCAGCTGCACAAGCCAGAACGCGCCTGCTCGGTCGGCGCGGACCGAGCTGTCTGCCGCGAGCGATGCGGCCGCCGCAACGCTCGCGGCGTCGTAGAAGCCGTTTGGCGAGGTGGGCGGCGGCGAGTACGGCTCGACCGCCTCGGCCACGCCGAGCTCCATCGACGCCGACCGAGACGAGGCTCGGCTCGAGGCGGAGCGGCGCGAGAGGCACCTGTGGACACGTCCGCTGGACGCGTCACGGACGGGCGCGCGGCTCGAGCGAGGCGACACGGCGAGGGGGACCGCTCCACCGCCGGAGGCACCTGCAGGGCGGGAGAGGCGAGGGGAGGGTCGCGAGGGGAGGGCTCCCCACCGCCCCACCTACCCCGCACCTGCCCCGCCGCGGGCAAGGAGAGCACGTGCCAGCGTTGTGTGGGGCGGAGACACAGCCGAGACCGGGGGGCGGGTATGGAGGGCAAACCTCCTCCGCTCCGACGAGCACGCACGGCCGCGAGAGCTGCTGGCACACCAGCTCGCACCCGCTGCGGCGGGCCGGGTCCGCCTGCGCATCTGCGGGTCCTCTCCGGCCCTTCTCGGAGCCTTCCGCGTGCGCGTCTGCCGCGAGAGCTCCGCGCCCTCGCGGCAGCGGCCCTCCGCCTGCGACGGTCGTGCGGGCGGGGCCGGCGACGAAGGCGGCGCCCGACGAGAGAGGCTTGCGCGGCGTGCGCAGCCGCGGAGAGGTGCGCGGCGGAGCCATCAGCGCAGCGGAGAGCGAGGCGTCGCCCTGGTGCAGCGTCTCACGCAAGTGGAGGGCGGTCGCTAGCCACACCACACCAGCCATGGCCGCGGCGGCGGCGCACGGCGGGAGGTACGGGTAGCGCTCGAGCACGAGCCGGATCGGCCCGTCGGGTGCCGAGGCGGGGGGCAGGTTGGAGAGGAGCCCGCCCAGCATCGGCCCGCAGATCGCCCCGGACCCCATCGCCACCCCGATGTACGAGAAGATGCGAGCCTCGTTGGTCGCGTCGCTGATGTCGACCAGGTAGAGCTTGCCGACGGTGAGCGCGCCGGCGCTCAGGCCCTGCAGGAAGCGGCAGGCCATCGCGAACCAGTACGACTCGGCGAGGCCGAAAGCCAGCAGGAAGGCGGTCGAGACGGCCATGCACGAGAGCAGCACCGGTCTACGGCCGCGCCTGTCGCTGAGCGGGCCGTAGACCGGCGACGCGAAGAATTGGCCGAGAAGGAAGGCGGCGCCCATCAGGCCGGACATCAGCGGCGTGTTTGGGTCCTCGAGGCTCAGCCGCAGCGTCGATCGCACCAGGAACGGGACGAACGGGAAGACGAGCATCATGTTGACGCCGTCGACAAACATGACTCCGAGGATGGGGAGTACCGACCGCCAGGGCACCGGGGTGGCGGCGTCGTCCATGCGATCAGAGGGTGGACCCAGCGCTGACTTCTGACTGTCGTTGCCGTCGATCCCTTTCTCGACTGTCGTACGACTGTCTGAGCTTGTGCGTCTTGGGTCCGTGGCGCGCGCGCGATTCCGTGACTCTCCTTTTACGCGCCTATGTACCCTCACCGAAGGTGCATAGGAGTGAATCCGAGTGAAACTAGTGGTGTCACTTGCTTGTGAGCGTCGGGATGGTGGTTCGACGGTTCGACACCGAGTGTTTTGTGTGAACACTGTATACCGAGGCGGTGCCCGGAGGCGCATTTTGTATACCGAGGCGGTGCCCGGTGCCGAACCTGTCGGACCTTAAGACAGCGTTGTAGATCCCTGGGCGAGGGTGGTGGCGTCCCCGTCGGGAGGGGCTGTCTGGCGGAGGAGAGCAACCAGGTGCCCGGCGGCGTCCCGCCACATCCGGATGACCTCTCCTCGTTGTGCCAGTCAGCCCCGTGAACACTGTGGTTTAGTGGTTACCACCCCCTATTGGACACATGCTCTCGCGCGTGGCGCTGACGGTCGGCGCACGTGGCATCCTAGCAGACTCGCGGCGCGTGCGAGGTACCCCTCGAGCGGCGGCTCACTCGACTCACTCGACTCGAGGGCCGGGTCCCACACGCACGTGCCCGCGCAGCTCGACGCCGCGCTGCCGAAAGCAGGGAGCTCCGCGGCACCGTCCGGGTCCTGCCATGGTCGATCTGCCGAGCTGTCGCTGTCGACACTGGCCGGAGAGGAGTTGCGGTCGGAGGGGACGGAATATAGATCGGCAAGCCCTCCAGCGTCACCGGCTTGGACTCGGCGGGAAACTGCAGCGATCAGAGGGCGGATGAGGGGGGCTTGGCGGCAGGGGTTGCGCGCGCAGAGGAAATGGGTTGTTGCAGCTCAGGGGGTGCCCGTGGAGAATGAATATATAGTGGGTGGGGCGTGTATCGCGCATGTCTGCCGCTGATCTCGCGGGTACTCGCCTCAGGGTGTCGGAGGGCCATCCCACACAGTGTCGCAGCGCGTCGATTGGCGTTCGCTGTCTGCGGCAATGCAGGAGGCGTTCGACCGCGCGCGCGTTGGCCGGGGCGTTTAGCGAGCGAGCCCGAGGTGGGCGCGGACCGTGAACGGAGCGCCCGGGCGAGCGGAAGTCTCGCGAGTGTGGATGATTGAGCCCACGGCCAAAGGGCTTTTTGCTCTGACCGCTGACGGCGTGCGGTTAGGCTGGAAAACTGGAAAAGGTCAGGTTCAAACTTGAGCCGTGAAATTCGGTGTAACGGCGTCTGAGATGGCGTCGAATGCTCGGCGCCCCCCCAATTCTTTTTCCGTAAAATTCTTTTTCCGCTGGGCAGCAGAGCCGATTTTGCATGCCAAGCAGACTCGCCGCGGCGTGCGCGAGCGCTGCCATTGACCATTGTTGACACACGCACGCCCACATCCTACGTTTCGGCGCACCTATCTGCGGTTCCTCCTCCTTCCCGCTCGCCGAACTGCCGGAGCGGAGCCGAGAGCTGCCGCCCGCGACCGCAGGCGGCGTGTGGGTGCTGGCAGAGGAGTCACGGGCCCTTGGAGCACTTGGAGTGCGGTCATCAACCTCACGCCCAGGACCGGGGAGCTGAGAAGCGCACCCAGTTGGCCGGACGCTCGGCATCGGGTTACGGGCAAGAGAGCCCTATCTCATGAATACTTGATTTTTCCACGCGATCGGATTTTTCCGCGCCTCGAAATTCCTAACAATCGCCTCGCCCCTCCCCAATGCCTTTCTCCGTTGCCTCCAGCCGCGCGGCGCCATCGTCCTCGATCCAGTGCCGGCCTGTGACAAGCTTGGCAGCTCGCGGATCGACGATCGCCACGAGCTGCTGCCCGGCGACCGCCGCTCGCCTTCGACGACCGTCCTAACAATCGGCGGTGAGCGGCACCTCCTTGGCCCAGCAACGGTGTTATCACGTCTCAGCTGCTTCATTGCCATGTCCAGTTATGGCGGAGACGCGCTGATAGCATTCCTGTGCACGCAGTTGGACCTGCACGGCCATCGGGTGCGTGGCGCAAAAAGACCTGTTTGCGCTGTCTTCGATATCAGCGGCTACATGCGCTGCTGCGCGTACCTGTGATGCACATGTTGATCACATCCATATACCTCACTAACATACAGCTGGCGAGCCTTGCATTCCTCGTCTGGCCATGCTGTGCATCATCTCACCGTATGCAGCCGTATACGCCCACAGTGCTCACAGGGTCGGGCGTCACGGTGCTCGTGGCAAGCATCTCCGTCACTCTTGTGACTTGTGGGCTTGGTGGTGTTGCCTCCGGTGCTGCTGCTGGCTAGGGTGCCAATGGCGCGACGGGAGGCGGACATTGGCGCCACTACAGCAACGATTGTTAGGCCGTGGAAAAATCCGGAATTCGTGCCCCGAACCGGCCGACACGTGGCCGCATATATGTATATATACCACGTCCGTATGGGCTGCACAAGCCAAACCACGCTCATCACAGCTTGCCACAGTGTGGCCCCTGGCAGTGGTAAGCCATTCTTGGTGTACCAGCTCACAGGAGGGCCGCTTGAACACGATTGTTAGACGGCGTGAAAAATCAAGTATTCATGAGATAGCCCCGGGGGTGCGCGGTCGCAGGGCCCTTGGAGCACTTGGAGTGCAGTCATTAGCCTCACTCACATCCAGGGCCGGCCGTACCGTTTTGTTTCTGATTTTTTTTCAGGCGGGCAACGCGGCCTCGGCGAGGCGGCGCGTGGCAGTCCAAATGGCGATCGTCGCCTCCCTCGGCGAGGACGCCGTCACGCTGGGCGAGAGCTTCCCCATCATCTGCGAGAGCTGCCTCGGCCCCAACCCGTACGTGCGCATGCTCAAGGTGCCCGCCGCCCGCCGCTCCAAAACCACGCCCGCCCGAGTCGACGCCGCGCTGAGCGGCCCGCCTGCGCGCAGGGCGTGATGGGCAAGGAGTGCAAGATCTCGGGCCGGCCTTTCACCTCGTTCCGCTGGCAGGGGCAGCACAAGCGGTGGAAGGAGACGTGCATCTCGCCCGAGGTGGCGCGCGAGAAGAATGTGTGCCAGTCGTGCGTCAACGACCTGGAGTACGGCGTGCCGTTCCACGTGCGCGACCAGGTGATGGCGGCGCTGGGCAAGGAGGGGGCGGTCTCGGACGTCAACAAGGAGTTCTGGTGGCACAACAAGAAGCAGGAGCAGGAGGACGACGGCGGCGCCGCCGGAGGCGGGCTGTCGACCTACGACCAGCTGCGCGACTCGGTGGAGCAGCTGCGCGAGTTTGCGGCGCTCGACCCGGGGCCGGTGCTGAGGCCGCGGCGCGACACGCCCCTCACGCCCGAGGAGCAGGAGCGGCTGCGCCAGCGCCGCCTCGCCGAGCTCCGGCCGCCCGAGGACAAGTCGATCTCCTCCCTCTTCGTCGGGTCCATCCCGCCGGGCGCGCAACAGCCCCCCCCCCCCCACCTCAACCCTCCCCGCCGCCGCTGGGCAGCCCCGCCACTTGGCGCAACGCTGGGTCCGGCCGCAGCTCCGTCGCCGCCGCTCTCCGCCGCCGCCGCCGCCGCACCCCTCCACAGGGCCTCGGAGCGGGCGAGGCCCGCACCCCGCACCCTTGGCGCAGTGTGAGAGGGCGGTCTGCTGCCCCTGTCCCCGCCACAGGCGCCTCGGACCGCGACCTGCGCCCCTACTTCCAAGAGTACGGCCCCGTCAAGAAGATCACCCTCGACACGGCCACGACGCGCAGCCCGCGCCGCGCGCCGGCGCGTCTCACAACCACAAGGGCCCGGCACGGAATAGGCGAAGATGAGCGCGTACGTGACGTACGAGCGGCGCGCCGACGCAGAGCAGGCTTGCCGCGCCCTGCACGCCAACCTCAACATCAAAGGCTCCCGCGTCCGCGTCATGTGGGCTCGCAAGCGGACGCGCGCCGCCGCCCCGCCCGGCACCGCCGCGGCAGCCGAGCAGCCGCAGCGGCCCGCGAAGCGGCCGCACTTGCCGCCGGGCGTGGCGCCGCCGCCTGGGGCGAGGTGCGGGCACGCGTACCCGTCGACGAACCCAGACAGTCTCGGCGCGAGGCCCGACCTGGACTAGAGAGTGAGAGAGAGAGGATCGAGAGCTCGGGGAGCGCCGCCGAGCAGTGGAGCACCGGGTTGCTGTGTGTTATGTTCAACGCTGGCCATGTTGTTTATTGTTGCTCAAAAGACTTCTCGAAAGACTTCTCACCACGCATCTCTCATGCCTGCAGTGGACCACAGAAGACAGATGAACCCTCGTTTCAGCTTTGGCACGCCCCCCCCCCCCCCCCCTGCCCCTCCCCCCCACTCCATCCCAAGCTCACGCACGGCTGTCTTTGGCGCGCGGGGCGGCGCGGCTCCCTTTCTAGAGGGCGGTGCCCCGCTCCAGGTTCGCCTTGATCTCCACCGTGTACGGGTCGAACGCCCTCTCGATCTTCTTGTTGTACACCTCGTTCCGCTTGTTGATGTACGTGACGTCCTTCGACTCGTCGAAGGTGCGCCGCCGGGACCAGTTAGCGCGCCGCACCGCCTGCTCGTGCATGTCGTCCACGAGCGCCTGCACCCGCTCCTTCGCCACCGGCGGCGCGCGCCCGTAGTCGAGCGGGTCGTAGTCGCCGGGGTCGTCGTCGGGCGCTCCGCCGTCCTCGTCGCCGCCGTTGCTGATTTTGCCGGCGTCGCCCGCGCGGCGCACCGTCTTCTTGTAGTGGCGGTACTGCGCCTCGTTGTTGTACACGTCGTACCCAAACTCCTTGACCCGCCGCTGCTTCTTGTCGCGCTTGTCGTGGCTCGCCGCTGCGTCGGCGGCAGTCATGCCGAGCAGCTTGTCCGTCTCCGTCTCGGCCGCGGCCTCGCCCTTCTTCTTCTCCCACGCCTTCTCGGCGCGCTCGCGCTTCAGCGCCTCCGGCCCCAACTTGTTCCGCCGATCCTCCTCCACCGCCTCCTTGTGGTTCGACTGCCGGGCGGCGGAGAGCCGCGCCTTGAGCGCCTCGAGCTTGGCCTGCGCCGCGCTCTGAGGAGCGGAGGAGGAGGAGGAGGCGGCGGAGGCGGCGGCGGGCTCCCCGGCCTGCGGGGGCGCGTACACCGGCGGGACGGCGTTGTAGGAAGCTGCCGCGCTCAGCATTCTGCTTTACTTAAAAATAACGCACGCGGCCTCAGCTGGGAATAGGACCGCCGCAAGCGGCGTGGCGTGGGGCGGTTGAGCATCCCTCCGGGGGCCCCTCTGCGCCGGGGAGGCGTTGTTGGAGGCTAGGACGCAAGCGTCCGTCGCCCTTTTCAAACTCGGGGCCCACTCCGCTACGTACGCTCGTTGGTATTGCTAAAAATCTCTCTCTCGTACGCTCGCTCCGACCCGAATTTGGAGGGCCTAAAAAAGTTTAAGGTGTTGCTGCGCAAAAGGGGTCGGACACAGGGCGCAGCTCATGCTAAGAGCTAGAAGGGGAGATGGAGAGAACAAGCACCCTGTCCCGTTATTGCGTACACCAGCACCACAAAAGCTCTCTCTCTCCTGTCCTCACTCAGGGGGGTCACAACTACCGAGTCCCTCGACTAGCTGCCACGTTGCCGACCGAGAGCGGATCTCCTCCTGCTCCGCAAGGAGGGTGGCCAAGGCTAAAGTCTTGCCGGAGCCGCCGGGCGCGTTGACGACTTGGAGAAGGATGAAGGTCGCCCTTCTACTTGTACTTGTAGAGATGCTCGAGGGGGTGCTTTGTGGGGCGGTGCGCAGCCAGGCCAGCAGTGAGGGGAGGCGCACCCTCACTCTCCTCGGTTGCAGAGCTCGTCGGAGGCTGCGGCACGACGGGAGGGTCGCGACAGCAGTCCTCGGGCGAGCCGACGCGCATGTCCAACCAGCGCTGGGACTCGTTGTGACGGCAGACGCCGGCTGCCTCTCCAACCGCTTCTGCAGCGTCCTTCTTTGCCCGGTGCATGGGCTCGATCCGATTCCGCAGCGTGTCGTCCCCAGCGGCGGTGCTGCGCGGGAGGCGGCCGCGGGCACGCTGGGCTCGATCAGCGGCTTTCCCTCAGTTGCTCCGAAAGCACGGATTTGGCGGACGTTCTGAGGCTTCCTCGACCGCGCGCGGAGGGCGGTTCGGCCGGAGTCCCACTCAGCAGGACTTTTGTAAAGCATGCCTGTCGTCGCTGCCCGCGCTATGCTGACGCTTTACCTAGCGTCGGCCTGGCGCATAGCATTACCACGCACGTAGTAGTGCGTTGGTACACTATTCACTATTCCTTCGTGTGTGGCTGTGTGCCCTTCGGGTGCCCGCGCGCCGGTTGGGCGCGTGATAGCGTTTATTATTCCGAACCTGCTGGCGGAGAGGCTACATGTACGGCGAGAGAGAGGGGCTCGGGCGACAGCTGTCGCCCGGCGCCGCTAAGTTTGGACGAACTGATCAGGGTTTGGATCAGTTGGAGCTAGGCTCTCGCCGTGCCCCTCTTCGCCTCCGCCTCTGCGCCGGTTAGACACTTCTCTATCTGGAGGAGAACACGGAAGATAGGAAGATAAAGGCCAGCCTCCCCTTGTCTTTCTTTTTCCCCTAATAAGAAAGAAAGAAAACACGGACCCAACAGCCCGCGATGCTCGCGCGAGGCGCGCGGGTGGGCCTCGGAGGTCAGTGGGTGGTGGAGCGGCTCATCGGGCGCGGCGCCTTTGGCGACGTCTTCTGCGCGACGCACGCGGTGAGCGGCGCCGCCTCTGCCGTGAAGGCCGAGGCGGTGGCGAGCCGGCGGCTGCTCCGTGAGGACCAGGCCTACGGAATGATCCACAGCGCGTCGGGCGGCGCCGCGGCCGGCTTCCCGCGCGTGCACTGGTGCGGCGAGGGCGAGGGCGTCGGCGGCGCGCGGCTGCGGCTGCTCGTGCTGCAGCGGCTCGGCCCGAGCCTCGAGGAGGCGCGGCGCGCCTTTGGGGGCGCGCTGCCCGTCCGGCTGCTCGCACGCCTCGGGCGCGACATGCTGCGCAGGCTCGAGTGGGTGCACGCGCAGGGCCTCGTCCACTGCGACGTCAAGCCGGGGAACGTCCTCCTCCCGGCCGGCTGCACCTCTCGCGGCGGCGGCGGCGCGCCGGCCCACTTCATCGACTTTGGGCTCGCGCGGTGGGCGGCCCCCGTGGGCGGCGGAGTGGGCGGCGGGGTGGGCGGCGGCGTGGGCGGCGGCGTGGGCGGCGGCGCGTCGGAGGGCGGGCCGGGCGAGCTTCTGTGGCCGCCGCCCTGCCGGCGGGGGATTGTCGGCTCCGCGCGCTTCAGCTCGCTGCCCAACCACGCCCTCGCGCCCCTCGGGCCGAGGGACGACGTCGAGGCGCTCGGTTACACGCTTGCCTTCCTCGGCACGGGGTTCCCGCGGGCCTCACACATGGAAGTACTGACTGTGACATGACGATGCGATGATGTGATGACCATTCCGTGGCGTAGGTCCCTGCCGTGGGCGAACGCGGCGCCGCCCTCCCGCGCCGCAGAAGCCGCGAGGAAGGCCGCGGCACCCGCGGCGCCGCCTGCGGAGGAGGAGGCGCAGAGGCAGGCGCGGCAGGCGGAGAAGCGGAGGCGCTTCGAGCGGATCGGCGAGATCAAGGCCGCCGCTGCCGAGGACGAGATCGCCGCCGGGCTGCCGGGCGAGTTTGCCGAGCTGCTGCGCGCGGCGAGGGCGCTGCAGCAGGGCGACACGCCCGACTACGAGGCGCTGCGCCAGCTGCTGCTGCTGCCAGAGGCGAGGGCGGCCACGGCGGCGGGGGCCAGCGTTGGCGCGCAGGGTGGTGCGCGGGCGCGCCGCGTCGCGATCGCGCAGCGTAGGCCGGCCCCGCCCATCAGGCGGCGTCGGTTGGAGGCGCGGCGTGGGCCGCGTTTTGTCCCGTGAGCGCGTGACCATACTTCGTGCTTGCAGAGAGATGTCGCGGTCTTGTGTACACTTTGAGAGAGAGCACGCGCCGTGTGCGTGCGCTGCGTGTGTGTCCGTCTCTCTGGCACTCTGGGGTACAACTGTGTTGTGTGCGTATCGATCTGTGTGTTCTATGTGTGTGCATTGACGACTGTGTTGTGTGGGCGGCGGAGTTCTACGCGAAATGCGGCATGGTCCTGTCTGATTCCTACACCAAATAAAATACCGCCCCTGGAGAGACGCGTTGTGGTCACCGCCTGCGCAGTGGGACACGCCGGGCGGGTTCCGGGTTCGGACCCCCCGACACCGGGCGCACCTCTAGACCGCACCAGTCACACCACCCACACACGCCACCGCCCAAAGCCAAACTCTGAAACCAAGGAGGTGCGAGGTCGCTCGGCCGTGCCCACGCCCTCTCGTGCGGCCCAGGCAGGGGCTCACCCCGGCTCGGGGCACACGGCGCTCTGCCACTCGAGGACGGTGTCGATCAACGCCTCGTACGACAGCCGGTACAGCTCCGGCCTCGTCCTCCTCGCCGGCAGGCCGGCGGCCGGCGGCGGGGCGGCGGCGGCGGCGGCGGCGGCGGCGGCAGTGGCGGTAGCGGCGGCGGCGGCGGCGGTCGACTCGGCGGCCGCCGTCGCGTCCTGCGCCGCCGCCTCGGCCCGCTGCAGGGAGAGGGCCTGCCGCCAGCCGCGCATCACGAGCCGCAGCAGCCCGCGGTCGCAGCTCGAAACCACGCGCGCCGCCATCGCGTCGCGGCCGGCGAGCGCCCGGACCGCCGTCGCGGCGTGCGCGCGCTCGGCGAGGGCGAGCTGCTCCTGCTTGCTCCGAAACGCGCGCAGCAGCACCACCCCCTCGCTCTCCAGCCGCGCCTCGAGCCCCGCCGAGCGGCGCCGCATCATGCCGAACCGGCGCTTGAGCTCGCTCAGCTCGAGCAGCGCCGCCGCCTCCGTCGCGCTCACCTCGCGGGCCTCCGCCACCTCGCCGCTGTCGTCCGAGGGGGGCGGCTCCTCCGCCTGCCGCGAGGCGCGACACGGACATGGTGGGCACACAGAGATGGCGGGGTACAAAGAGATGGCGGGGCACACAGAGATGGTGGGCACACAGAGATGGCGGGGCAGATGGTGAGGGCGGCGACTCGTTGGGAGGAGGGGGCTTGCGCCGAGCAGGCGTGTGCCGGGGGCCTGCACTGCCGCGTCCGCCGTCGCGGGCCGCAGCGCCGAATTGGTGGACTCTGCGTGGGAGAGCCGGAGCCGGAGCGCCTCCACCTCCGCCTCGGAGGCGCTGAGCGCAGTCGGGTCCCACCGCCCAGCCGCGCCCAGGCCGAGGGTAGACGCGAGCGTGACGGCGTCGCCGCTGCCCTGGCCGTCGGGCGCAGGAGGAGGAGGAGGCGGCGGCGGCGGAGAGCCCGGCGGCGGCGGCAGAGGCGTGGCCGGCGCTTCCAACGTTGGCGCCTCGGCATCCGCCTCGGCGGCCCTCTGGGAGGCCTCCTCCTCCGCCGCCTCTGCCGCGGCCGCTTGTGCCGCAGCCGCCGCCTCTGCCGCCGCCGCCTCCGCCGCCGTTTTCTCTGCGGCTGCAGCCTCCGCCGCCGCTGCCTCCGCTGCCGCCTCCCCCGCCGCCGCTTTTGCGGCTGCAGCCTCCGCCGCTGCTGCTTCTGCCGCCAGCCGCTCAGCCTCCACCCTCGCCGCCTCTGCCGCCTCTGCTTCTGCCGCCGCCGCCCGCTCCGCCTCGAGCCTCCTCTCCCCCGCCGCCCTGCGAGCCTCCTCCTCCTTGGCTGCAAATCGCGCCGCCTCTGCCGCCGCCGCCTCTGCCGCCTCCGCCGCCTCTGCCGCCGCCGCCTCTGCCGCCGCCGCCTCTGCCGCCTCTGCCGCCGCCGCCTCTGCCGCCGCCGCCTCTGCCGCCGCCGCCTCTGCCGCCGGTCCATCCTGCGCCAAACCCTCGGTCATCACCGCCCCGTCCGGGCTCGACTCGTCGCCGCTCCAGAGGGGCGGCGGCTTGGCGGCGGGGCTCTGCGGCGGCGACGGCAGCGTCTCTGCCAGCCTCGCGATCGGGCCTGCGAGCGCCTAGAGAGACGCGAGGAGGGGGCGGCTCTCGCCTCTCGCGGCCAGGGCCGGCCGTGTGTGCGCGCGCGCCGGGAGCTCGGCGGAGCCCTGCCCGTTTACCCGCACGTCGGCCGCCTCCGCCTGAGGCGCGGCCGCGGGCGGCGGCGGCGCCTCCTCCGCCGCAGCCGCGGGCGAGCCGTTGCCTGCCACGAGAGCGCGGCCGTACTCGGCGAGCTCCTCGGTGGGCGGCTCCCAGGTGGTCTCGCCGAGCAGCGCGTTGGAGTAGTAGGGCAGGTTGTGCTCCGGCGACACGCCCACCGTCCACGCCGCCGCCACGCGCATCGCGTCTCCCTTGGCGCGCAGCTCGTCGGTGGGCGGCTCCCAGGTGGTCTGGCCCAGCAGCGCGTTGGAGTAGTAGGGGAGGCTGTTCTCAGGCGACCACCCGACGGTCCACGCCTCGGCCTCCTGATTGCTGAAGCGCGCATCGAAGGGCTCCACCGACGGCTCCCGCGCGGGCGCCTCGCTTGTGCTCCGGTCGCTGAGCACGAGCGCCGAGCCAAAGGGCCCGTCGCCGCCTTCGGAGGAGTGGCGCGGCGTTGGCGGCGCGCTGGCGGTGGGCGTCGGCGATGCGCTGGCGGCGGGCGTCGGCGGTGCGCTGGCGGCGGGCGTCGGCGGTGCGCTGGCGGCGGGCGATGGAGGCCACTCCTCCTCCTCCTCGCCGTCGGTGCCGTGCTCGAGCATCCACTCGATTGCGAGCTCGACAGACTCGTAAGCGACGGCGAGGGCGGCGCGGCGCGAGGCGCCGGGCGGGAAGCCCATCACGGTGAGCTGATCCACGAACTCGTCCGCCATGGCGGCGGTGCGGACGACGGCGCGGCGCAGGCGTCGGGCCGTACCTCTAGGTACGGTAGAATGAAAAAAATCACAGCACGCTCCAAGTGCGTCGTCGCTGCTGCTAAGTGCTCCAAGTGCCGCTGCCCATACCTGCTTTAACAAGGCACTAGGGACCTGGCCACCCCGCCCTGACCCTGCAACCAGCCATGCTATCGTGTAGTTTCATGCACGAGTAATTTGCAAGCTGCCGTCGCCAAGCACTTCACGCCCCCCACAGCAAATCGGTTTTTGCCCTTAAATAGTGCGATTTCCCACCGATGCCAAGCGAAAAATCGTTCACAAAAAATCTCAGTATTCTCGACGCGCGTCGAGATCCAAAACTCGACGCAGCCAACTCCCAAGCCCAAATCTGGCCAGAGCGCCATTCCTACCAACCGTCGGCTTTCGCCGCTTCCGTTTCCTTGAGCACCAGGATGACAGAACTGGCCGTTGCCAGACTAGGGACTATTATGCGCCTCGGCGAGGCGCTTCCGGTGGTATTTTTTTTGAGCGCAGTGGACTTCATCTTGCCGGTCAACTGCCGGCGGTCGACAACTGCCGTTCGAGCAGCGTCGGGTACCGCCGGCAAGATGAACTCACCTGAAGCTGCCTAGGGCGACGCAGGCATCTCGCGCGCTGGCCAGAAGAGCGCCGGCCGTGCGAGGCGAGGCAGCGCACTTGACGGTGACGATGTCTTGCTGGACGGTACAGCCGACGGCGACGGCGCTGGCGGCAGAGGCGCTGGCCGATCGCTCGGCTACGGCGGAGGCGGCAGAGCACGTCCGCTCGGAGTCGAGGGCGGCGCAGGCGTCTCGCGCGCTGGTCAGAAGAGCGCCGGTCGTGCGAGACGAGGTATCACGCTCGAAGACGAAGGCGAGACTCTGGTCCTCGACGGTCCAGCTGACGGGTGACGGCGACGGCGCGGCTGTAGCAAATTCTGAAAAGGTTCCACCAGAGCTTGCGCGTGGCGGCGGCGGCTGGCGCCTTGGTTTGGGCGGCTGTGACTGGCGCCTCGGCCTCCGTTAGGGCAGAGGCCTCGGCTGGTTGGTTGGCCTTGTGGGCGGCGGCCTCGGCTGTCGCCTCGGCTCCACCTTTGGGTAGTGGCCTCGGCTGTCGCCTCGGCCTCTTGTGTGACAGCCTCGGCTGGCGCCTCGGCAGCCAGGTCGGGGGCTGCGCCCCCTTCCCCCGGGCCCCCCCACGGTCGGCACCCCGGAGGAGAGGTCCGACAGGAGGCGTCGGCGTCGGCCCGCAGCCGATGGCAGGCTGAAGGACGCAAGGGGCAGACTAGGTCCAGCCCAGGGTGGCACAGATCTGACGTTTTGTGTCTGTAATATCTGAAAGTATAGAGATGAGAGTGAGGTTGAACCGGACCCAATCAAAGTCGGCGGGTTTCGGAGGGGGGGGATATGTATGACGAAAAACGGCGGGCGCATTTGGGCACATGACTGGGAGAACTCTGTGGTGGACCCGCTGGGCGAAAGGTTCTCGCAGACCGTTGCTTCCTCACAATGTCGTTGAGCGGAGCGAGTGCGAGCGCGGCGGCCAAGCAGCGGCACCAGGAGCAGCGGCGAGCTGACAATTGACATCGTCAGATCCGTGTGTTTCTCGTTGTTTTGTCGCTCGCTCCGCTCGCCACCTCACGCTCGGCCGTCCGGCCATGGCCAGTACCCCGCGTCTCAGTGAGACGCGTGGTACCATCCAACTCCGGTCGATGGGCTCGAATGCGCTCAGCCTCAGGAGGGACAAAACCACGCGAATCCTGCACGCCTCGCTGCGCCGCTGGCTTGACTGAATCAGGCAGCAGCAGGCTGCTGCTGCTGCCACAGCAGCAGCCTGCTGCGGCCCTAATACGCAAGTTGATGACTAGCAGCACTGCCGGGGGCATTCGAGCCGCCACAGCCGGTGTGCGGCTGTGCACTGCCACCTGCCCGCGGCTACGCACAATGTGCGCTCGCATTGGATGAGCCCTGCTGATGGACCTGCGTCGCCTAGCTGCACGAGAGCAATGCCGTAGGCGGCGGCCGTAGCATATACTGCGAGCACACTCGGTGCAGCTGCGAGGTGCAGCAAGAGCACGTCGTTCCTGCCTCTGATGCCACTCTCGCGGCTTGTAGCGCGTCACTCGCGCATGCTCTCCAGGAGCTATGGCGGGCGCGTGTGTGGGGCTGTAGCCTGTGTTTGGCCGGTTCTGAACCGTTTACTATCAGTACCATGCCTGGGCCACAAGAGAATCGCACACGGGGAGCGGCTCAGGGGCCCAGTAAGCCGCGGAATCGCCAAATGTCACAACCCGCCATGCCACCCAGGGCTGGACCTAGTCGGCAGCAGCAGTGCTTGCCATTTACTGGTAAATGAGTAAATAAATAAATAAAACGGGCAAACTCTGAGACGAGATGGGATTTAGGGACATGTGTCCCCGCCCTGCACGATCTTGGTGTGAGGTAAATGAGTGGTATTAACCACTTATTTGATTCTCCTAGGGAGTGGTATGGTATGAGCAGAGAGTGGTATGGTAAACTACCGAACACAATACCGACCGCCCCCCATCCAGGAGAAGAGCGTGGCTCACAGACGGACTCTCCAGCCTCTCAGCTCACCATCTCGCCTTCTCTGTCGCTCTCCTGGCCCAGGCCCATCAGTAGCAGGCCTGAGCTGTCCCAAACCGCACTTACCTTGGGTCTGAAAGTTTACACCGGCTCGTAACACACCACACACGGCCCTCACACGCACATTACGAGCTCACAGACGCCGCCGGCACGCACTCCCACTTCACACACGCTCAAGCACAACCCCACCAAAGCACAGCCCTGCTCAGAATGGGCAAGGTCCACCGCTTGGTGACCCAGGCCGCCCCTGGCTCGCCACTGCACTCGGCTCCTCTCAGCTGTCTCGGGCTCTCCCACGACAGCACACCGACGGCAAGCTTTGACGCCCGTCTGGTGCACCTGCTGCGGCCACGGCCCATGCGCTCAGGGTGGTCGGATGATCGATCTGCAAATTACACATGCGCGCCTTGCTTGGTTGTGCTCGCGTTGCACTAGCATTGCAAATTACACGGAGCACTCGGAGCAGCCGATGCAGCCATCCCAGGTGCACTTGTCTACCCAGCCCTGCGTCTTGCCCTCACAAAACGGCTTGCACACCGGCGCAGGGGAAGAGCACTCGGTGCAGCCGTTGCAGCCATCCCAGGTGCACTTGGCATCCCAGCCCTGCGTCTTGCCCTCACAAAACGGCTTGCACACCGGCGGAGGGGACGAGCACTCGGTGCAGCCGTTGCAGCCCCCCCAGGTGCACTTGGCATCCCAGTCCTGCGTCTTGTCCTCACAAAACGACTTGCACTCCACTGGGGGCGACGGCGGTGGTGGCGTCGGAGGCGGCGGTGTGGGGGGCGGCGCCTTCGGTGGCGTCGGAGGCGGCGGTGTGGGGGGCGGCGCCGACGGTGGCGTCGGAGGCGGCGGTGTGGGCGGTGGTGGCGTCGGAGGCGGCGGTGTGGGGGGCGGCGCCGACGGTGAGGGAGGGAGGGAGGGAGGGTCGGTCGGAGTCGGCGGTGTGGGGGGCGGCGCCGACGGCAAAGGGGCCAGGCACTCGGTGCAGCCGGTGCAGCCAGTCCAGGTGCACTTGTCATCCCAGGCCTGCGTCTTGTCCTCACAAAACGGCTTGCACACCGGCGCAGGGGCGGAGCACTCGGTGCAGCCGTTGCAGCCCCCCCAGGTGCACTTGTCAGTCCAGCCCTGCGTCTTGTCCTCACAAAACGGCTTGCACACCGGCTCAGGGACGATGCACTCGGTGCAGCCGGTGCAGCCAGTCCAGGTGCACTTGTCATCCCAGGCCTGCGTCTTGTCCTCACAAAACGGCTTGCACACCGGCGGAGGGGAGGAGCACTCGGTGCAGCTGTAGCAGCCACCCCAGTCGCACTTTTTTTCCCAGCCCTGCGTCTTGTCCTCACAATACGGATTGCACGTCGCGTGTACGCCGACGGCGAGCGCCAGCGACATCACTGCACGAACCTGCGGTGTGCATAGCGGCCGATCGGCGAGGATCAATAGCCAAATCCCCAACACGCACGCCTGGATGGCTGGATGAGTTAATTCGGGTGTGATACCGCCTCCGGCGCAGGCCCCCCCCCGTTTTTTACTTGAGCACTTGAGCACTGGATAGGGTCGATTCCGCATGGTACGGGACCCCTCGATCGTCTCGCCCTCCCTCGGTCCTCACTGGCTTGCCGGGGTCATGGGCCCCCCCCCTCTAGCGCCGCCGGAGGCGGCGTAGCTTCCGAGAAGCTCGGTCAGACACACGGGGGAGAGACGGACACCACATCATTACGAATGACGCAAAAATACGTCACGGAGAGCGTGTAGAATGGCTAATTTCGCCGAGAGCGCGCCGCGGGCGCACCTGGTATACGGCCCCGGAATGAGTCACTGATTAAAGTTGGGCGCCTTTGGTCGAGGCTTCCCCGGTCCTCACTGGCTTGCCGGGGTCATGGCCCCCCCCCCTCTAGCGCCGCCGGAGGCGGCGTAGCTTCCGAGAAGCTCGGTCAGACACACGGGGGAGAGACGGACACCACATCATTACGAGGCGCGAAAACGACTTGCACGAAGAAGGATCCTGCGTCGAGCAGCGAGTCACCAGTGTGCCGCTCGATAGCCTCCCGGGCCGGAATCCAGGCGCGGGACCAGGGAACACGCCCAGGAGTCGACTCTCGCGGATCGCCGGCCAAAGTCGGGCCGCCAGGAGCGAGCTGGCGACGGACGCTCAAAAAGGCCCCATCGCGGGCGCAGGACAAAGTCTTTCCCGAAAGGGTCTCTTGGAACAATCCAACATCAGATTTGCCTCGTGCGTCCCTTTTTGAGCCAAGCTATTTTCTTTTGGGTCCTGTGGGCACCCTAGCAAGCCGCCGCGAGAGCGCAAGAGGCAGTGTACCCTTTGCCTGCGTAGGCTGTGAGCTAGCGGGCGGCGATGAGCAGGCCGCGGACAAAATTGTTGGTGACGACGAAGGTGGCGGTGGCGATTGGGAGGGTGCCGTGCAGCATCAGAAATTCCCGATTGATCCAGAGCCTCGCCCTCGCTGGCGGCGCTCGCCCGCGCTGGCGGCGCTCGCCCGCGCTGGCGGCGCTCGCCCCTCGCTGGCGGCGCTCGCCCGCGCTGGCGGCGCTCGCCCGCCACCGCGCTTTCACGCCAATCGTGGTGTTCACCGCGCTATCGATCTGCTCGTTCCAGCACTGCCCTGCCCGGCCAGCTTAGTGGCACGGCACCCTCGGCGCTCCTCTGCTCCCGACTTGCCCGCGCTGCGCGTCGGTCGCGACCTACGCGCCGGCGCTCGGCGCCGAAGCAACCCTTGAGGTGTGAGTGTTAGAGTTGTTTGGTATTGAAAACCCAGGAAGAGGGGAGGGAGCTTGGAGGGGAGGGGAAGAGAAGCTGAGAGGAAGGAAGGGCGAAGCGGAGAGAGGAGAGAGAAGGAAGGGCGAAGCGAGCGGAGCAAGAGGCGGGAGCAAGAAAAAGCTCCTACCAGGGATCGAACCTGGGCTGATCGGATCAGAACCGATAGTCCTAACCGCTAGACTATAAGAGCATGTCGCGTCTCGACCGCTGATGAAGCCCGCCCAGCAGCGCCTCATATAGCTAAAAAGTGTGATACCATGTCTTATCTTTTGGGGGGGACCGCAACCAGCTGCAGCGGAGAGATGCCGATGGTGCACGCTGCGACAGCGAGCGGCGCTGGCGCGCTGCCGCCGACCGTCGCCAGAGCATTCGCCGCTTTCTTCAGCTTCTGGCAGTCCGCCGTGTCGAGCGAGCGCTTCGCGCAGCGCGGCCGCTCGGCCTCGGTCGATGACAGCGGCGCGGGGGGCGGCGGCGGCGGCGGCGGCGGCGGCGGGAATTCGGCGGCGGCGGCGCCGTCGGACGCTGCTGCGCTGGCGGCGGAGGCAGCTCGCCGACGGCGCTCGGCGGACGCGGTCGCGTCGTACACCTGCTCCGCCGGATCTGGTGCCTCGGCCGAAGCACCCACGACGCCGATCCACGCGTCGGAGAGGCCCGCCGCCTGCCTACCTCCGGCCCGTACTTGGACATCCACGTGCGCAGCTGTCGTGGCTCGAAGCGGCGGGTCCCACTCTCATCAACATACTCGTCGCATGTCGGCTTTATCCGGTTTCCCGGCGGGCACTTGAGCGCTGTCTGCATGGCGCCCTTCTTGAACTCCTCCGCGTGATAAACCGCCTTCTCTTCGTCTTCGACACACCAGCCTTGGCCGACACCCCGCTCTCCGACACCGTGCGCATGAATGAGAACTGCTTGAAGAAAAATCGAGGAAAAGAACGACCCGCGTCCGAGGCAACTGGTGTGAATACGGTCTGAACCCCCCCTTCCTTTATATATACCAAAAGGAGGGCTATCCCTCGCTTCACAATCTACTCTGCGATTGCCGTGTGTGGTGTGAAGAACGACCGAGATACAAAACAAGAGAGAGATACGCTGCTTCTGCAGCCCAGCCAATTCTTGGTTTAGGTATGTTGTTTGCAAACCAATTCTTGGTGGTCCAAGTCACCTCGTCGAGGTACTGGGCCCGCGTCAGCTTGTTCTGCAGCACGTCCGCCGCCTTCCAGAGGATCTCGCGGACCCTTCCCGAACCCGCCGAACGATTCGAACAGCAGCAGCTGTACGTCGACGTCCTTGTCCTCCTTGGCGTAGCGATACTCTCGCCGCCGTAGGACGGTATGCGGCGGTCGCCGCCCACCACCCTGCCACTCAATACAACCTCTCCCTCTCTACCAACAACATACCTAAAACCTCCTCTACGCGAGCAGCCGCGTCGAACGAGTCGAAGTACGGAGGCCCTTTGCAGAGACGGTAGGTAGGTAGGTAGAAAGGTGAAGAACAGCCAGGCTCGGACTGGACACCAACGCGGTATGGGTGGACGCTAGACAGATGATGACGACACGCACGAGCGACACACAGACACAAACAGGCTCACAAGACACACAGCCAGCTGGCTGCCACACACCCTGAGTAGGCGTACACATAACTCAGGGCCACATCCTCCCTGTCGCCCCCCCCAGCACTCCAAGGCACCAGAAGAACAAACAAGGGCACAACAAACAACAGACAACAGGAAGTGACATGCGAGGCTAGAGCAGTCTTGCTCTACCTCCAGCAATCTCGCCGGCCGGCGAGGCACGGACGAGACCGTGTGTGGGGTCATGTGAGGTGTCTATGGACGCTCTCCTCAGAGGCTAGCTGCCTGCGGCTAGCCCTATCTCGCACTCACGGGCAGTGACAATTCAATGGGTGAGTGTTTGCGAGCAGAGGCGCGTGGGCTAAATCTAGGCCGCACGTCGTGGCACTATGACGAAGGTAGACGTGCGGCCGCAGCGCGCCCGCCGCAGGCTCGGCGGTGCGCGCGTGTTAGCGAGAAAGAGACGGCGAGCACACGGACCCCCATACGAGTACCCGGGTAGGACATGTCATGGATCGTGGATCGGCCAGGCAGGTATTGGTGGCCTCGATGTCAGCCGCTCCGCTCGAGCAAATCAGCCTCATCTCGTCCGACGAGGAGAGCGAGGCTACGCCACAAGCGGCCGCAAGGGCAAAGCGGAGCGCGGCGGCGCGGTCGGCGCCCTCCTCCACCCTCCCGAAAGGCGCAAGACCGACGCCGGAAGGGCAGCAGCGCCCTCTCGCAAGGCGCGCAAGGATCCGGCAGCTCCCAACGCCGAGGACCCGCCGGCCGCGGCCGCGGCACGCCCTGCGCCGTCGGCCAGCCAGCGCGCGTCCTACCTCCAGGCGCGCGAGGCAAAGCTCAAGGCGTGCCGCTTCAACCTCTCCGCCCTCCCCGCCGGCAAGCGCGTGCACGACACCTCGCGAACCATCAAGAAGCCGACGCCGGCGTGGGCGGGCTTCTGGCCTCCGCTGCGCGAGTTGATGCAAAACACGATCGATCACCTCGACCTGGCGCCGCGCGGCCGGCTGAACCCGGCACTGTCGCTGCGCGTCGAGCGGCCGGCCGGCCAGCGCGGCACCCTCGCCTCCATCGCCTTTCGTTGCGGCGACGAGCCGGTCTGCGCCATCGAGGTGGAGGAGGACGAGCTGCGGATCCTGCAGCACTACACCTTCCCGCTGCACCCGCGTGCGCTCGAGACGGGCGTGCCAGACGCTGGCAAGGGCGGCGACGCGACCGCGGGCGGCTTTGGCGACGGCTTCAAGACGGCGGCGGCGGCGCTGCTCGGCCAGCCCGCCTGCCGCACCATACGCTGGACCTTTGAGACGGCAGAGGGGCGCACCGTGCGCTGGGACTTTGTCGGCGCCGAGCGGGCCGCGGTCGGCAACTTTCGCGCGTCGCGGGTGCTTGAGGTGCACGTCACTGCCGACGCCGCGCCGGCCGGCGCGGCGTCGCGCGCGGGCGGCGCGGCCTACGTGATGAGGCAGCGCGTCCGCGTCGGCGGCATCGGCCGCGCGTTCCTCGCCGAGGCGGCGCCGCGGCTGCAGGTCTTCTGGTCGCTGCCCGACGCGGTGCTGCTCGGCAACGGCCGGCAGGGCGACTTCCTCGCCGACGCGGCGGCGGCGCCGCCAATCTTTGACGGATCCTCCGCCCCCCCCTCCTCCGCCTCCGCCTCCTCCTCCGCCTCCGCCTCCTCCGCCTCCGCCTCCGCCGCCTCCTCCGCCTCCTCCGCCTCCGCCGCCGCCGCCGCCGCCGCCTCCGCCGCGCCGCCCGCCGCCCGCCCCGTGGCCGGCGTGTACGTGCGCGGGATCTGGGTGCGCAAGCCGCTCATCGAGGGCGCCATCATGGCCTTCTGGTCCAAGCTCAACGTCTCCTCGCGCGACCGCAACGACGTCGACGCCGAGGAGTGCGCCGACGCGACGCTCGCGGTGCTGCGCGACGCGGCGCGGTCCGAGGCGGGCAAGGCGGCGCTGCGCCGCCTGCTCGCGCCGCTGCAGGGCAAGAAGGCCGGCTCCTCGGCCTCGGGCGGCGGCTCGTGGCTGCTCCGGACGCCGCGCTTCACCAACCGGCTGCTCGAGGCGCACCGGCCCTTCTTCCTCGGCGCGCTCGGCATGCCGGCGGGCGCGCTCTTCGTCTCGAGGCGGACGACCGAGAGCGGCGACCCGTTCCTCAAGTGGGCGGCGGCCTTCCTCGCTAGTTAATTAATTAATTCATAATTAATTACAGGCGACCCGTTCCTCAAGTGGGCGGCGGCCTTCCTCGCGCGGCGGGGCGCGCCGCTGCTGCCCCTCGAGCCGGGCGCGTCCAAGGCGCTCTTCAGCGAGGCGTCGGAGGACGAGCTGCAGGAGCGGTGCGTCAAGGAGCTGCTCGCCGAGCTCAAGAAGGCGCCCGCCGCAAGGACGGACGCGCAGCAGGCCGCCGCCAAGCTGCTCGCCTTTGTCGGCGCCGAGTCGCGGTCGCTGCGCCTCCACTTCTCCGCCCTCGTCGCCGTCCCGTTTGCGCACGGCGCGCACGTCTTCATGCCCGCCACGGCGCTCGACCGCGGGCTCCTCCTCCGCCTGCTCGCGACGCTGCAGAAGCGGCTCGGCCGCTTCGACGACAAGTGCGTGCACGCCACGCAGGCCTTCTTCGAGACGCTGCCCGCGCACGGCGGCCTCTCCCTCCCGCAGCTCGACGCCGCGCTCAGCCGGGCGAAGCAGGTTGGCGTCGAGAGCCGCGCCTTCGAGAGGCGTCTCGAGGTGGGCGGCGGAGGAGGCGCGGCGGCGGCGCCCGCGGCGCCCGCGGCGGCGGCGCCCGCGGCCGCAGGGCCGAGCGGGGGCGGCGGGCAGCCTCCTCCCGTCATCTCGCTCGACGACGACGGCGCGGCGGGCGGCGCGGCGGACAGGCGCGGCGGCGGCGGGACGGCGGGCGGAGAGGAGTCGCGCCGCGCCCTCGAGAGGCAGATCGCGGCGGCGGCGAGGCAGCGGCAGACCCTCCGGGCGGGGCACATCCTTCCGGCCGCCGCCTTTGCAGACGAGGCGAACGAGTCGGAGGAGAAGTGCCTGCGCGGCCACGACGCCCTCAAGGCGGTGGCGGCGCACGACTCCGTCGGCGGCGGCGAGGTGTACTCCGATGTGGCCTCCGCCGCGCACCTGGCCGCCGGCACCCTTCCCAAGGCGGCGCAGCTAAAGGCGCTCCGCGCGCACCTCGAGCAGGCCAAGCGCACGCTCGCCGCTGCGCTCCCGTCGCTCGGCTCGCTGCTCGAAGGGATGGTCAAGGCGGGCTTCGACGTGGGTGGTGCCTACCTCGGCTTCTGCTCCGAGCGCGCCATCGTCGTGAACCTCGCGCCGCTGCTGCGCCGCTGGAACGAGGCGGGCTCGCCCGTGGAGCTGCTCCTCACCCTCGCTCACGAGGCGGCGCACCTCCTCAGCGAGGGCGGCGCGCACGACAGCGCGTGGCGGCAGACCTACGACGAGCTCATCCAGGCCGCCATCGTCGCCGGAGTCGGCCCGGCGCCCGGCGCATTCGCTGGCGTCGGGCGGAGGGCCTGACCGTGGCGCGTAGCGCTGCGTTGCTGGGCCGCTGCGCTGTTGCTGGATTCTGCTTCGGATTACACACAGTGTACAATAAAGGGGGCGCTGGCCCATGCCGCCTGGACGCTGCGGAGATCAACCCGCAGGTGGCGGAGCTTAGCGAGCGGGGGGGGGGGGGGTTCCACGACCCTTCCACGGACCCTTCCACGACCCTTCCCCGAACCCTCCCACCAGCTCTTCCACGAGCCGTCCGGCAGGTGGAGGAGCTCAATGAGCGGATCGACAAGCTGACCGGCTGTGAGGCGGTGCCGCTCTCCGCCGCCGCGGCGACCCTCCCTCCTGCCACCGGCCGGCGACTCTCCACGCCTCCAGCTGTGACCAGGTGCCGCTCCGTCTCCGCCGCGACGCGGAGCTGTACGAGGCGTGAGACCCCCACCTTTCCCCCCCTTTTTTTTTATTCGGGTTGTCGTCCTCTCCTCCTCTCCTCCTTTCGTCCTCTCCTCGTGTCCTCCTTTCCTCCTTTCCTCCTTTCATCCTCTCCTCCTATCCTCCTTTCCTCCTTTCCTGCCCTCCTCCCCTCCTCCCCTCCTCCCCTCCTCCCCTCCTCTCCTCCTCTCCTCCTCTCCTCCTCTCCTCCTCTCCTCCTGGCACCCCCCCCCCCCCTCTCCCCCCCAGGCCGACGGGCTGCACCTCTCGCCGAGGCGCGGCTACCCGGAGCTACTCGCCCAGCTCGCCAGGCTGTGCCCGCCCCTCGCCGCCACGGCTGTGCCGGCAGAGCCTTCTGCGGGCGGCGGCGGGCCCGGCGCAGCGGTGTCCTGCAGCAGTTGTAGTGCTGCGCACCGGTCACCGCGGGCGCTGCTACCCGCTCCTCCGCCCTTTGGCGCTCTGCTGCCAGCTGCTGCCATCTGCTGACCGGCTGAACCGGCTGCCCCGACAATTCCGGGTCGCGCGGGGCGCAGCGGCTCCGGTGGGAGGCAGGAGCGGCCAGAACGGTCTTACCTGCCGAGTAATGGTAATCTCTAGTCTTTTTTAGAGATTGAGAGCTTAAAGATTTGAAAGACTCCACTCGGGTCTACAGTGCTACCCAGAGATTTGAGACCAGAGATTTGAGACTTGAGACCTCAGTCACTCGGCCTCCGGTGGGAGACTTTGAGATTAGAGACCAGAGACTTGAAGAATGAGATTTCCCACACCAGAAGGAATCTGCGGTCGAGTTCGCTCGAGATCCAAGATTTGAGACTGAGGATTTGGACGGCCTTCCAACCTAGAGATTTGAGAGCTGAGATTTGGAGATTTGCGGTGTGAATACTGACAAGAGCCTCGAAGCTTCTAGAAGGGTTGAGTGGGGTTGACCTGCAGGGAGATTGAGGTCTGAGATCTGAGATTTGAGATTGAGATTTGAGATTGAGATTTGGGGCCCGGGGAGCCTGCGGCGCCATTTTAATCTGCGCTCCTCTTTATGGCCTGCGGCGCCTGGCTTGAGCTTGGAAGTGTAAACGAGTCCGCCAGGGCGGTCTGCAAACACGGAGCGCGCTGCGCGCGCGGTCTACGCCGAATTAGATGAGAGGGACAGCGCTATCCGCAAAGGCTCGACCAGCTGCGGCGGCTCGTCGGCAAAGGTCGTCCACTCCTTGGCGTACGGCTGAAAGCCGGTGTGCGAGTGGAGCATCTGCGTGTCGAGGCGCCACAGCTTTTCGCCCTCAAAGATGATGTCTCGCGACAGCTGGACGTACTTGCGAGTCCGATCCATCGCGCCGTCATACGGCACCTGCTTGCCCTGAGCCAGCCGAGTTGACTCCTCGGCATATGAGAGGTTGTGCTTGGCGCGACAATTTGGGCAGCGCTTGCAGTAGAGGAGCCCGTCAAAGCGCCCGTGCGCAGTATACGGTTGGATGGACGGGCTCGTCGCTGACCACAAGGCACACCTTCTGCCCTTGCGGCGCAGAACTCAATCTGCGGGACCAGGTGGAGCGGCGTGGACTTCTCCTGCTCATGGAAGTGCTTGCGGTCGAGAAGATCCACGAGAGCGCTGATGCCCGCCTCGCTCTCGATGCTGCTGACGAGGATGTTGATGGTCGTGGACGCGTGCGTTGTTTGCATGTCGGCAGCGATGAGCTCTGCGCGGTCGGGTGTGTCGACTGGGTAGCGGGCCATGCCGAGGAGAAGCGCGACGATCTCATCCTCACTCTCGAGCGGCCACAGCTTCGTGGAGAACCGCCTCAGGCGGCGGCGGCGAGTGTCGGCGGCGCAAAGCATTGCAAGCCGAGCGTGCTGGGGCTTCAGTCTCAATCTCAAATCTCGAGTCACGCTGCCCTACTCGAGTAGATTTCGGTTGTCCCGAAATGATGTTTTTCGAACGAAGCGAGATAAAGGCGTTGGAAGGTTGAGGAAGTTCACAGCATTCTGCATCGAAAACGGAATCTCTCTTGCTTGCAGTCAGTCTCAGTCTCTCCCACCCCTCATCGAAATCTCAAACTCCCAAAGCGAAAAGGAATCTTCGCCATTTGAGATCTCACGCGTTTCCTCTAGAAACTCACACCGAGCGACGGGAAGACTGAGATTTCGTGGCTGAAGTCTCGACGAAGATTTGGGAGATCTCAAGGGCGGGACTAGAGACTGAGATCTGCCCTGAAATCTTCAGGTCTCACTCCTCTCAATCTCTAAGAAAGACTAGAGATTACCATGACTGTACCTGCCGGCCTAGCAGTCGACTGGACGGCGCTTGAATCGAGGGCCATGAGGCTTGCGCGAAACGTCGAAGGAGAAATTCTTGGAGGTCCACCTCCAAGCCCTGATACAACAAAAAGCCCATGCCGGCCGTGCCCTCACCGAAAACTCGAGCGAGCCCAAGCAGCGCCGGGACGCTCCTCTCCACCGTGATGCTCCTCGCCATCGTCGTCACCACGACGTGGCTGCGGACGGGCGTCGCCCACGACATCGTGCGCCCGCTCTCCAACGTCGCCGAGATCCCTGCCTCGCCTGCCTCGCCTGCCTGCGGCGTCGAGCTCATCGCTGGGCAGGTGCGCGGGTAGAGCTCTCCACCATACTCTGCCGCGATCCCGGCTGCTGCGAGCACGGCGCCGCCCGGTGCGCGCGAAATGACCCCTGCCGTTCCCGCGCGCACGCAGGTCGCCGAGGAGGACGTCGAGTGCCAATGCGCAAGCACGACAAATGTGCGCGCGTCCGCCGCCGCCATGCAGCCCCACCCCTCCCCGCCGTCGATTTCGTCGCCGTCCGTGCGCGCGCCGCCGTTCACTCCGCCGCCGCCGTCGCCCCCACTTCCGCCGCCCCCGTTTTGCGCCTCGCCGCCGCCGCCGTCCTCCTTTTTCCCGCCGCCCGCGCTACGCTCAGTCGCGCGCGTGTGCGGCTCGCCTGCGTCGCCGCCGCCCCCCCTCTCGCCGCCGCTCCCCTCACAGCCTCGTACAAGGGTGCCGCCGTCGGCGCCACAGCCTTGGCTCGCCCAAACGGTGACCCTCCCCCATCCCCCTCGGTGCTGCCCCACCTTCATCAGAACCAAATCCTCACCCCCCCTCCATTGCGCCCCGAATCAGGTGCCATCGCCACGTTTCCGTCGGATGAATTATGTGGAATCGTACCCCTCGGTGGTTTCCAAACCTATTCAAAAATGGACGCTTACAGAAATCGGCAAAAATTCAACCGTCACAACAACATTGCGAGAGACGAGGAGTGACTCTTGCTCAAAGTGCACAAAGGGTGGCGCGATTTCGGTTGAAATTCGCGTCACCACTCGCCGCCTCTCGCCGCCGATCGATGACGAAGAGGAAGACCGAACTTCGCCCCAACTGCGAAACGATTGCGATTGGCGTTGGCCTGAAGGGCTTGCCCCGTTGCTGAATCTCGATGCACACCTTTCGCTGCGAAATTGGGAGCTCAAACCAGGTCATGTTGCCCCATTGCGGCTTGTCGGAACTATTGGTCATCCCGCGGGCATAAC